TTCCATATTGATTTCTTATCACTGAAAGATATTTGCAATCTTATCATGTATACTAATGGAAAATCAGCTTGAAAATAAATTTTCTGCAAGAAAAAATTTTGGTTGCTGGAAAGAATAAATTAATTCGAATAATTTATTAAGAACGCATTAATAATTTTCTCCCATAAATGAAAAAAACTTTCAAATGCTAAACAATTTTCAAAATGCACCAATTTTTAATCATATTTCTAGTAAAATGATAAAATGCTTCATATTAGTTACATTCTTCTGTTGCAATTTATAATTCATTGGGTTCAATAATAATAATAATAATAATAATAATAATAATAATAATAATAATAATAATAATAATAATAATAATAATAATAATAATAATAATAATAATAATAATAATAATAATAATAATAATAATAATAATAACAATAATAATAATAATAGTAACAATAATAATAATAATAATAATAAAATAATAATAATAATAGTAATAATAATAATAATAATAGTAATAATAAGAAAAGCTGAAAAAAATTGAAAGTATATTTAATATTGAAAAATCGAATGAATATTTCTTGCCATAATAAATATGAGAAAAAAGACAAAAGAAGAGCTTAGATTAAAATTCAATCAAATAAATAGGTTGTAACAAATTCAAAATGAATAAATTGAAATTGAACAAAAGCAGAAAAGGAATTAAGAAGACAAGTTCAGAAATAATTTCTGAAATTAAATTTTATTTCTAACTCTACCTTTCATTTGTAAATTAAATTACAAGCGAATTGTTTTTGAGAAAAACAACATAAAGTGTAAATCTGTCAGTGCAAGAAGAAATTTTGAAAAAAAAAAAAAAATTCTTGAAAAGAAAACTGCTAGGTTCTGTTTTTTTCTTGTCTTAAAAATCAAATTACATTTCTTTTTTTTTTTTAAAAAAAAAAAAAAAAAAGTGCTCATCAACTGTTGTTATACATTTCATTAACTAAACTCAAAAAAAAAAAAAAAAAAAAAATTGCAGAAAAAGATAAAAGTTTGACAAGAAATGATTTCAAAAGACAAACAATCACAAATATTTGAATTGATTGGAATCAAATCGGAAAATTCAAAATAAATTCTGATCAACCTAACTTTTTTTTTTTTTAATCCAAATATAAATTTCAAATTATTGACTGAATTTTGAATTTTTTGATAGTCAATAATAAAATATTCCAATTTTAAGTTATTATATTTTATAATTTAAATATTACACAGCTATTTTATAATTTAATCATTACACGACTGTATTACTTCACAATTTTATATTGCTAGACTTTGTAAATCAGATGATAAAAAATGATTATTAAAATGATAATTTAATTATCGTAAGTTAAAAATGTAAACAATTAAAGTCAATTAAGAATTGTACAGATAATGATTTGATATTAACAACAAATTAATGATTAAATTTTGAGAAAAAAAAAATTTAATAAAATGATTAAATAAACATTTTAATTTATTAGTCATCTAAATAGCACCAAATTTTAACAACCACAATTTAACATCCAATTAGTTAATCATAAAAATTAAAAAAAAAAAAAAAAATTAATATAGAATTAATTGAATTGATCTGATGCAGTTCTTAATGTAAACTAAATTAAATTATTTTAATAATCGAATAATTATCGAATTATTAAAAAAAAATAATATAATCAAAAATGAAAAACAAAAAAAAAAAAAACGTAAAAAATTTTGTTCACTTCCAAAAAATATAGATTCATTAAAAAAAAAAAATAAATAAAGAAAACATTTACTAAATGTATAAAAATATTTTCTCTTTCCATTTTTAGCTATTTCTAAAATAACTTCTTTTTTCCTCGATTTTCATTAAATTATTTTAATATTAGCAATTTTTCATTGAAAATTACTTCAATATTAGACTGTTAAAATTAAAATTAACAAGAAGAAAATAGAAACACTAAAATAATAAAAATTAAATTTTCTATATCTTAAATTTATTGTAAAATATAAATGAATTTATCGATCTTTAAAGAATATTTTAGAATTTGCCAAACATTATTAGATTGGATTTTTTTGAATGCTATTCGTTTTTTGTTTTTTTTGTTTTTTTTTTTCCTCATTTTTGCACTTCTTTTTTAAACAGCTGTCCTATTGATGAGAGATTTAATGATGGATTAAGGTTGTTGCTAGCATGAAAATGGTGTAGGATTAATTTTTCACATAGTTTTCATCTTCTATCAATATTTTGTTTCATTTTCCTTTTCTTTTTTTTTTTTTATCTTACAAATGCTTTTAGACATTGCAAGAAGAGAAATTAATTAATTAGCTCTTTTAAGCATGTTTTCTTTCTTTTTTTTTTCAAAATTTTATATTAGCCATATTAGATTTAAATGGAAAGTGATAAATTTGCAATTACTTTTTGGTCAACTGATTGATGTAGTTTAAATAATTATTTCTTGATCAGTAATTCTGTTATGATCTGGAAGAACAAGTTCAGTGTGATAATTTTTGTTATAATCTTTCTTATGGATCGCAATTATTTTTTGATTGATAATTTTGAACTAATTTAAGTAAAATTCATTCCTATCATGAAATAATACTTGAAATATTTGGAAAATCCGGTATAACATTACAGGTTTTCTTCCAATCATTTATTCAGTGCTAAATGAATTAGACATAGATATATGCCTTGATTAAATCATAATTACTGAAATTTTTCATATCAATTTGAAATGTTTAATTCCTGTCACAGTTAATTGCTACACGGAAATAATGCATATTATCAAGTTATTCCATTATCGGTAACTTACAAAAATGATAAAATTACCCATCGATTAGCGAATGATTTCTGTTATTTCTGAATCTATTTATCATCATTTGCAGTTTCGCTACTCAAAAAATCAAAATGGATCAATTAATATAATGTTAATGTATAAATATATGCAGTAGCATTCACATATTCTATAAAATTACAATTTCATTGAAACACAATCAGTTGATAAATCTAGATTTTACTACTAAATTTCTTGCAACAAATGACATTTGTAATGATTATAGATGAAAATTTCTACTATATACTTATAATATTAAAATTATATCACATGACGCTATGGTTTTTATAATTCTTCATAAGTTACGCTATAATAATAATAATAATAATAATTATTATTATTATTATTATTATTATAATAATAATAATAATAATAATAATAATAATTATTATTATTATTATTATTATTATAATAAATATTACTTGATAGTTTGAAAGTTTACAACGCAGTATTACTAATAGTTATACTATTACATTATACTACGAATATTAACTTATTACTATAAGACTATATTATAATATAATCTATCAGACATACTGTGCCATACCATGATCCATGAGTTATGCTACATTATACCATAGTCGAATCATGTCCGATTCATACTCCAGTACATGATCGATGACATGCATCATAGTATAATTTGAGTTATACCATAATCGCCCATAAGCTATATTACAGAATGATTGATGGATTACAGTAGAGAAATATCTTTATAAATATCACATTATCACTTGGATTCACATCATAATATACATTGCTAATAGTAAAAAATTTAATACTTTTGTTTGAAAAAAGAAAAGCAAATAAAAGCTTAACAAAAAAAAAAAAAAAAAAAAAGAAAGAAAACACTCACCATGGAAACCTTTTTAAGAATATAATTAGAAAAGTGTATGTTTAGTCCTTAACATTGTTAAGTGAATTGTGATGAATATTTATGGCACGAAAATGCTATAATTTGTTCCCATTTTCGCAAAAATTATGTCCAAAAGAAAATCGGAAAAAAACTTTTGCTAGTGAATAATGTAAAATCCAACGTAATTTGGTACAAAGTTTTCAATTTAATAGGAAAGAAAAGGAAAGCTAATATCTAATTGGTAAATAAACATATCAAATTTAATTATTTCAAAAGTTACCGTATCACAATTTTTATTTTGCAAATTGCTGTGTCACATTTTTGAAATTTAAATAATTTACACATATTTTTTTTTTTCCAATTGAAATAAATATAAACAAAAAATAAATTGATGTGCGGTTTTTCAAACTATTTCCATTCATATGAATAATTTTTACAGTTGTAATCAAAAATGAACCTTTTCAGCAAAATTTTCTAATAAACCTGATGAGCTAGATTTCATTTTTCCGCCTTTAATTTATATGAGACAATCATTGTAATATTTTCGTTTGCCTATAAGTTGCCTTATTTTAGACTGTGAAATTTTCATGGTTTCGTGGTTATCCATTTCAGTAATTCAGAAACCATCATAAATTCTACCGTTTCAAAAGAGAGAGTTTTAGACATTGTACTGATGTAAACTAAACTACTGCTGATTAGACTACTGAAAAGAAACAATAGGACTTTTGCTGCATGAAGACCGACAATAATTTTTTTTTAAAAATTTGATTTTGCAATGATCAAAAACTGTGTTAAACTCCGTCACATAAATCAGAAATCTATAAACAATACACTGAAAGTATTTAAAAGCAGAGATCAAATATAGGAAAGCTACATGTAAGTTTTACATTCAAAATTTTTAGATATAAGTAATAAAAATTTCAAATGCAAGCAACTAATTGGAAAATTGAAAAAGTAACTACTTTCAAGTAATTAAAAATCTAATAGCAGAAACAGAAAGCAACAATAAAAATTGGAGGTAAGAGTATTGGACTCCTAGGGCTAATTAAATTTCTTCATCCAATCTTATTTGAAACCGATCACACAAACGTTATTCACGTTATTTTAAAGCTCTGTAAGTGAAATAAAGCAGAAAAATTTTGATACAATGGAAGAAAACTTAAGAAATATACAAAAACATAAACCAAAGTGTTTCATCAATATGACACATTTTAAAACATATTATAGTTGAAAAAAAAAAAAAAAAAATGGACATTCAACAGATTTCTCCAGAACTAATTTATCAAATCAAAATAAAAAGAAAGGAAAAGAGAAAGGAAGAAGAATGTTTAATTCCAACTTCCATATTCGTCACTCGAATCATATTCATCAGAAGACATTTTCTTCAGTTTATATGCGTGTGTATCTAATGCATCGATACATCGACTCCACTGGTAATTTACATTTCTCACTGTATCTACTGGATAAAGTTCTTGCACCTTTTCCTTCAGCCACATCAACTAAAAAATAAATATTGTGGAAAAATAACTGTATCGGAACATCAGTGAGAAATTTTTGCAGTGCAGTAGAGCAAGCAAAGCTCTGATATTTTAAAAGAAGTTATGTTGGAAAGTTCTAAGCAACATGTGTATATAGAATTTTAAAATGAATATTTATCTAGAGCGTTTATTCCTTAACACATCAAAATCTATGCTCTAAAATTGGAAATCTTAATCTGAAGTTTCTTAATGAGAGTAGATTAGAATATTTTTAAAAAATAACATCCTAATAGAAGATCAAGATATCTAAAGTAAAATTTGAACTGTGACTAATTATGATGTGCTCTTTAAATCATAAACAAAAACATTTTTTAACAATAAAAAGCATCAAAATTTATTAAGAAACTAACCGTTCAAGGAAAAAAAAAAAATTTAACTTACTTTAGCTTGATTTCGTTTTTCTTTACATGGTTTCTTAATATCATCACTACCACTATACAATAAGAGAGCAACTTTAAGGGCAAATCCTTCAGCATTTTCCTGCTGTCGTCGTATACGAGAAAGAGTTTGAGGTAACAAATAATCTATTTCTAATTCATTTTCTTCGGTAGACTTATATTTTGATGAACAAGCTGAAACTAAGTTCAGGCATAACTGAATTAAGATATTTATATCAGATGAAACTTAACTGATCATTATTTCAAAAGTCTCCAGGAATTAATCAGAAAAAAAAAAGTAAAATGAATTCCTAAAACTAATCAAAAGAAAAAGTAATTCAATTTAACTGAAAAGAATTAGTACCATCATCTGAACGCATTCGTTTTACAGGAACACCACGTCGCTCTGAATTATCAAGACTGTAGTTCTCTTTTTCTAACTCCAGCAATAAGTTTTCGTAATCGGCTAATCCAGACAATGCTTGTAAGCAACTTTTATACAATGATGACAATTGTTTGCGCGGATAGCATACAGATATCATAATTTCTATCCACCGAATCTAAAGAGTAATTCTTTTTAAGTCAAGGATAAAGTTCAATCTTAAGCCAAATTAAGAATTGATCTTTAATTTCGACTTTTACTTCAAAATCATTTCTTGATCTGAATTCAAACTCCACCTTTCCAGTAAGATTTGAATATTTCTTCCTTATCAACATGCTGAAATTTAAACTTTGATCATTTCTTAAAGATACCCGTTTTATTTGGCTAATCGTCATATTTTCCGAAAATAACATGCTGATCTCTTCACGTGTAAAAATATGCCGTGCAAGACATCGAGCAAATACCGTTGGGTGAGAACACGTAGCCACTAAGCCATGAACAAATTCTTTGGGACAGTATCGGTAAACCTCATCTGCAAAAAATCATACATTTAATCTATTCTGAATTCATTTCAGATAGCTTGGATTTCAGAAAGTCCATTTCTTAAATTCGGTGTCAGAAACTATTTCCTGCCACTTTTCTTAATTCATAAAAAAAGTAAGTGAAAGAACTACTGATAAAAGGAGTAATTTACCTGCATAAAGTTTTCCGATGTGGAAGAAACCATCTTCTCCATTAAAAACTTTATCCGTTTGCACCAAGACTGCTTTCATTTCTACAAAACAGTCTAATTTAGGAAAGTCTCAAACAGGAGAGTATCAAATAAACTGACACTAAAACTAGAGAAATTCCAGGTAAACTCATTTTTATACCTTCAAAAAATTCTTTTCTCAGATTACCTTTTTCAGCAGCAGAACCGCACGCTGGAACCACAGTAGGAACATGAGGCCTTAAAGCACTCAACGATATTGTTTTCAATTGGTTGTCAATATCTCTTTTAGCAACAACAACCATACATCTCAGTCCATCCGCTTCACAACGAATATTATCCAGACGTCGACATAAACGGCCCCAGTTATAATTCAAACATTCTATCAGTTTTGTGACTCTAGTTGGAGTTCGAGAAAATCCAACTGGAAAAGTTGAATTAGTGTCATGATGACTTTCAGTAAATGAAGCTATGGCAGGACGTTGCGAAGTGGGTCGACTACGGCTGGATGACTCGGACTGCAGAAGATACAGCGCACGCTTTCTGTGTAACTCAGAATCAACATGAGCTAATGCTGAGGAAGAGATGCCGCAAAATAAAGGTCGTTTCGAAAAAGTCTGGTTCTGAATTAACAATTGGAATGCTGAGAATGGTTTGCTTTCTCCAACATCTGGCATACGCAACGACATGGGTGCATTTTTTACAGAATTTTCTCTATCGGAGTAGGCTGTGCTATCATAGTAGACTAGCTCATCATCCTAGAAGCATGTATAATGTCACAAGAAAAAAATTACGTCTAATCTTATTAAGATGAAGTCAAATATTATTAGTCAAAAAGCACTATATTTTGATTTTAACTAGTGAGATTTCATGTTTTTGATTTAAACTGAATTAAATGCAAAGATTCATAATTCATGAATTATGACTAAATTTCAAATTAGGAACAAAGCATCTTAGAGAGTTTTTTCCAACTGAAAGATACGACAAAATTTACCCTTCTCATAAGAGAACCAGTGTGACACATTGGCTGAATTTCAAGTTTACGAGATAACATATGTATTTCGGTAAGCTGAAATAGAGTAACTTCATTAAAACCGTTCGTTTAGTTCAGATTACCATTTGAGTGCAGAATAAACCAATACCAAAGAAATCCCGAAATCTCAAAGTGTAACATCTGATTCCGGAAATCTGAAGGATTTGGTTTTTATCAAATTGCCATCCAAGATATTTAGAACTCATATTTTCCATCCAAAAATGTACATTATTCCAAAAAACAAGAAGTAAAAACTTACCATGTCATTCGGAATCATATATAAATTTTTTGGGAATGATTGGTGTTTACATTTCTCGACTATAACACGATGTTGACCCACTTCGATTACAACAGCTCTCTCAATTTTTCCCTTCAATCGAATATTTACATTTGAAAAAGGCCAAAGCACTCCTATAATATCGCTCTCACGGACTATGCAGAAAATATTCAACTTATTAAGGTATATTAAAGCACAAGCATTCCTGAAAAAAAATTATTACAACTTCCCAGTTGTCACTAATTCGGAAAATACATTCTGATCTATGATATATTAACTGTGCAAATTTGCATCATATACGTCATGACTGGAAAGCACTACGATGTTAAGCAATGCTCAATACAAAAAAAAAAAAAAAAAAAATATAGTCTGTAGGGTGAAACAAATGATATATGATATATCTTAGGAGTAAAGAATAAAAAATTAGTTCAAACAAATCCACGTACCCCTCTTCTGTACCCGTTATAGCGTGGAGCATAAATTTCAGCACATAACCGAAACGCCAAATCGATGCATCTGTTTGTATAAATTCATCGTTTCTATTCAAAATTCGGATACATTCATTACTAATGCACTTCCATTCGTTTTTTATATGATTTACTAGAAAAGAGAGTATTAAAACTCTTAGAAAAAAACCTTAGTATAACCATCATAATATCTAAATCTAGCAAATCTACACCTAATTAATACCAAAATTATGCCATTTCACACATGTTGTGTTTTATAATTGCTTAGTAATATCACTAAAAAAAAAAAAAAAAAAAAAAAAAAGACTAACAAGAAAAGAAGGAATAGTAAACAGGAAAAAAACAGATTTATGAATCTGTAGCAAGAATTTTTCAAAATTTTATTAATTCATCTTACCTGTTAATCTACAAATACCAGTTGATACTTCATGCAATTTTTTAGTGATCTGATACGCTATTTTGTCATTCATATTATTGAAATTATTCGAACTGGATGACCAAATTATTGGACGTCGTTTCACTTCTTTAATAAGCATCAGACGTAATGCGTCTGTCCATACGAATTTTTCGTCACTGTATAACATTTGATTTTATTGCTAAAATCTGAAAGATAAAATACTATACTTGTTTTTTCAAATTTAAAATGCATAATTAATAAGGAAAAATTAATATCCGAATAGCAAGCAAATGGTTCATACACGACTGATAGCATTAGTTTTTTAAACTTACACTTTTAAAATACTCGCAAATATTTCCCTAAAAATTTTTTAATTCCTCTCAAAACAACATCTCGTTAGCACTAGTTGTGTGTATTAGCTAAAATTATGAGACTTTTCGCATGTCAACAAATACACAACAGAAATTCACAAATAAACAGAATTATCTGCAAAATTACATAATCACGTAATTGATAGACACGTGAAAAACGACGGGAGTTTCGTGTAACTTTCACGTTTGTACGTACGCATTAACAAAAGAAATTAAATGCCAAAAAAAAGGAAAAGGAGAAAGCAGGAATCGAAAGGTCACCATCACATCTAAGGCAAACGAAGCAATCATATTTCCCGCTTTTTCATCATGAATTCATCATGTCGTCTGCTTCACACTCTCTTTCTCTTACTCTGGTATCTTAGTCTATCAATTAACCGCATTCTATCATTGCAATCTGTAATATCTATTCTCTCATCACTATCATTCACTTTTTCATTCCTTTAGCTTAAGGTTCGTTGGCATATCCATCTGGTGTTTCTGGTGTTTTCATCGAGGTGTGATCTGGTAGGTTCGGTGTTTTTGCTTATGTGAAATTTGGTGGGTTCGATATTTTCATCTGGAAGTGATCTCATGAATTCGATGTTTTCTTTCACGTAAAGTCTTTTGATTCCGATATTTTCATCGGACAGTTAAATTGGTTACGAATAAATGCTAACATTTGTTGTTTTCAATTAGAAGTTAATACTTATGTTCAGGATTATATAAAATCTGATTTTTGGGTTCAAAAAAGAGAGAAATGATGTTTATGAATGCTGGTTGTGTTTTTTTGGTACTTTTACTTAGATGACATGTGTCGGTCTATTATAAGGTAATCGGAATGACTGTAAGTAAGCTACTAATGTTCATAACTTTGCAATTACGTGCCAGTCTTTAAGCTACTGATAATCTGGTTATTAGTTAATATTAGAGGAATCACGAAAACGCATTGTGCATAGGTAAAAACTCATATTTTAAATAAATATGTAAGCACTATATGACATAGGTATAACTGTCATGGCAAAAGTTGGCTTATATGCTTGACAGATTTTATACTTTTTTGTCGTCCTTGCCTACCTCTTTAAACATGTTATGTTAACATGTTGTATTTCATGTTTCAGAAATGTTTGGAGGACCTCCATTTCTACGTTATCCGTTATGGCGTTTCACCGCTTTTTCGGTGGTTGCCTCAACTGCGGTGTCGGGAATTATTTTTATGATGTTACGTAGAAATGAAAACATGCGACGAAAAAAATGGGAAGAGTTTTTCAAGTAAGACTTAATTCGATTAACGTTGTTCATTTTTTTGAGTAACTGCTTAAAGCATGAATCAGGAATGCTTAACTAATAAGGAATAAGGAGTGCTTAAAATTTTATATCAGTTATCGTACTGCTAGATTTTTATGCAGTCACTACGTCGGATTGATCGTAGATCGAATCGATTTTGTCTTGGATGTTATTACCATTGAGGGTTGGGATTTTTTTCGTTCATAGATTTCAGATCATTTCAGTTACTACGTTCTAATTGCTTATTGTTGCAGAAATTACGATGCGTATGAACATATAAAAGAAATTTGCTCACATGCACCAGGGATAATGCATAGCTGTCCCAAAGACCTCGCTTTAGCATATGAAAAAGCTGGATTGAAGAAGTAGATGATAAATGCTCGTTAAATCGATTTTTTGTAGTGATCTTGTTTAGTGTTTTAGTGAACACTAATGAAATGTATCTTCTTAGATTCTTGAAGTCAATAACTATACTGATTCGTTTTTGTAACTTCTTAAATCCGCGAAGTCGATAATTTTACCGACTCCTTTTTGTAATTTAAATTGCTTTATCAGAAGTATAAAATCTGGCTGCATACATGATAAGTAAGAACGAGGGCAACATATTCGTTCCAAACATTTCAATGCTTTTTAGGTGGAATTCTAAGGTTTTGAAAATAAACGGAAGTTTGACTGATAATATTATCACATATCAGTCAGAAAGGCCACTGGATTTGTATAAGTGCTGTCTTTTAAAATAGATGACAACATCATACTTATAGTTCCACCGGGATATTTTTTGATCTCTATATTTTGCAAGTATGAGATTAATATCGCTCTTAGAAAATAACTTAAAAGGTGCTCATAGCTTATTTACTGTTGTATGGCTAGCTATTAATGCCAATCAAATTTATCATTATTATGATGGTTTCCTGAAGCTTGGAAGCTACATTTGAGGTTGTTATTGGATATTCCTTACAGATGCTATTGAGTTCTAATCAGCAAGTGTTTATTGCTTCTAAGCATTTTAAAAGTCTGTTCTCGGCCTATAGGTTAAGAAAAAAAAACAAGTTCTTGTGGTTGCAACGTGAAGCAAATTATTTTATCCGATTTGACTAAGTATCATAAGACAAACTTTGAATTTTTTATCTACAAAAATGTAATATAGATGGACGAGGTAACAATTTACAAATATACAGCAGCATGACGAACAGGAACCATGAACTTAAAGATATGTATAATCTGTGCAAATCGTTATTTTGTCATCTACAGCTGATCAATTTCGATGTTGTAACGCAATTGTTTTGCTGAGAACCATGAGTAATAATTGTCGAATTCAATTATATCTGTAATTAAATATGTGAATTACAAGTATTCATTTTCCACATTTGTTGAAGAGTAGAATTACACTTATTTGCAGAGTGAAAAAGGATAATTCTTTGATCATTACTTGCTTTAGACATTGTATGTTTGAAAAAAAATTTCAAAAGTGAAAAAGACTTACATCTTCCAGCTTTTTCACATAGAATAGATCCAGATATGGGCACTTGTGAACACTCTAACCTAATATATGGGAAAACGGTTTCCATTTCAATTAAATTGTTTGCTTTGGACGTTTTATCGAAGTGTATACCGAAACCAATATCTTCCTCCGATGTCATGTACTGCCAGCTGAAATACATATCATAATTAGTTGGTACTATTTGCAAGTTAATATCTCAAAAATTGATGTGAATGAAAAGGAATAGTATTATTTCATTGGTTCCAGTGATTTAACTAACCACCATCCTAAAATGCTAGCATACATATCTAAAATATTCTAACTTGATACTTAATTGATTGGTCATTTTGAATTTAGAGTGCTACCCAGAATACCTTACGGCAATTTTCGCACATCTCCAACCATATCCCTAATGAAGAAACTAACAGATTGACACTATTATTATTATTTGTTATTATTTATTATTGTTTTATTATGATCATTATTTTATTATTATTATTATTAATCATTATTAATAATAATTATTATTATCATCATTGTTGTCGTCGTCATTATTATTATTATTATTAATTATATTCATTACTATTACCATATCCTATAAAATAGATGTCCTGTAAATTAAATATTTGAAAATTAAATATTGAAAATGTTAACCTAATTCTTGTATTCGCTTCAACTTTAATCTCAATGAGATGTTTTTCACCGGCGTAAACAGTTGTAAGTTGATCATAATCAGGCATCGCATCATCCGGATCAATGTAATACGTATCAGGAATTGGTCCAAGACCGTACCGTATTTTAGATGGACATTTTGGATCACCATTTTCGCACAGTTTACCACCCCAATGAACAGGCCATGAATCCAATTCAACATATTGTTTTAGTGCTAATTCCCATTCATCAATTGAAGGCATTTCGATTAGTTCATGGAAAAAAAAAAAAACATATTGTAGTAAAAAATTAATAAAAAAAAAATTAATTCGATGGAAAAATTAGAACTGCTTTTTTTTTTTTTTTTTTCAAGTAAATTTAAATTATTTTAATTCTTAATTATGTTTAGGAAAAAAGAAGCATAGTCCATTCTGTAATATTATTTTAACATTATTAATGAATTATTTATTAAACATTAATTGTTATTAAGCAGTTTACATCTGCATTTAATATTCTAAATTAGCATAATAAAGCAAAGCTCTTTGTTTTGTTCATTCTTTCTTTTGTTACAATTTGTTTAACAATGTTTGATTAATAAATTTCAATTAAAATTTACTTGTATTTTATCGCTTAAAAATGCGGTCATTGTATTAAATGCAACTCTAGCCATTTCAGGTGCTCGAATGATAAGAATTTTTTTCAGTACCAATGGATAATGCTCTTGAAAGAGTAAAATAAGTGTTGTGAAAGAAGAAGCGAATGCTTTGCATGAATAATGTGCACTACTGATGTGATCCAAGTCGAATACAATCATCATTTGTTCAAATGCATGACCGGTCTGTAAGAAAAAAGTTTGATAAATTAAAAAAAAAAGAAATCAGTGATTTGATTTTGCAATTAATCTCTTCTCTTTCTTTCTTTTTTTTTTTCTCTCAAATTATAACTAACTTTTAGAAATGTTTACAAGTTTCGAAATTATAATTTGAAAATATAGAAATAATTAAGAATATGAATGTTACCAAAATTAATGATGAATTTAGAAAATCTAATTTAAAGTATAAATTATTTGATTTTTAATTTTCACTCTTTTTTTTTTTTTTTTTTAAAATCATTCAAATATCCAAATGATTCTACTTGTTAGGATAATATTTAACTAACTGATTGATTGATCGACTGATTAATTGATTGATCGATCGATCGATCGGCTGAGTTGATCTATTTAGAATGAAATGAAATCATAGCATATTTTAATCTTAAATTTCAAATTACAATAGTTGACCTCTTTGGATTTATCGCTGCATAGTCGTATACCCCGTTCAATTGCAGCGAGAGAATATTTGATATAATCACTGGATTGCACTGATTTCAACATTCCTATAAATAAAATTTAAAAAAAAAAAAAAAGAAAGACCTTGAAAAAAGAAAATATAAAACGAAATGATAAATTTATTGATCAAATGTAGATAACTATCTTCGATCTCTTCTTTCATCATTAATTCTCAAAAAAAAAAAAAAAAAAAAAAAAAGAAAAAAACCGTTGCCGAAGATAATATGAATAATTTAGTAAAGATCATATGCAATCATATATAATATGGAATTTAAAATTTAAAATCAAGAGTTATTAATTCAATTTTAAATTTTCAAAAAGACGAATGAAAATAATACCTTCAACATCCATGTTACCCAATAAAGACATAAGTATTGGAAAACCGTCTTTATCTGATAAGAATCCATAACCACAGTATTTTTCTAGAATCTGCAAAAAAAAAAAAAAAAAAAAAAAAAATTGAAATGAATAAAAAAGAGAAGAAAGGGAGAGAGAAAGAGAGAGAGAGAGAGAGAGAAAATTGCATCAAATGAATGTCTTAAAAATAATTGATATTACCATTCATTGCCATTCTAATTTCTACTATTAATTTATTATTATTAAAATTACGTTTTGAATTTCTTATCTTCACTTTACTCCACTCCTCTTATCAACTCTTATCAATTCTCACTGATTTTTATATGAAATTTTGTATTGATTGTTTAAAATAGATTTCGATTCTGAATGTAATTTCCTGAATATCAAAATGAATTTTTAACGAAGCATAAGTAAGATTTCAAATTAAATATTTTTTTTTTTTAAACTTATTTTGTAATATTTATACCTATCACTTTTACTATTCGTGTTTTGCAAGAAAAAATAGCAAAAAAATTGGTAATACTTCGGGTGCTTTCCAATTTGGTAAATTATCGAGATCCCACGCTTTTCGAAATACCACATGTTTCTTCAATGCATCAGCGGTTTCATCGAAACGTCCGTCACGTGAACGTAACCACCTTGAAAGGTAATGCAATCTTATCCAACATATGTTTTTATGCGCAAAGGAATTTTAAAAATAGGAACTGATACAAATTTTTTACATGGATAATAAATTGAGAAAAAAAGCATTGCAATAAATTTTTGCATATTATATTTTACAATTGGTATTTATTCCTTCATTTCAAATAGATTAATCGATAATGCCGAATTCAAAGTATGCAAAAGGTTAATTAAATTTCAAAATTTACCAAATGAAATCATTTTTTCCTCGGCAAATCCATAAATCAATGAATAGAAAAGGAAAAAATGAATTTAAGCTATGGCATTACTTATTAAGCTGCTAGTTTTCAAATAATTCACAATTTAAATGAATTTTTTTCTCTGATAAATGGATCACATAATTTCGAATGATATGATTTATCAAAACACTAATTCATATGGAATATATAATATTTCACTATTTTGTGAAAATTTCCAGAATAACTAATTTATTTCCTTTATCTGTCTTAACTAATTAAAAGTAAATAAAATTGTTTGAAAATTCTGTAGAATATTTGAAAGTTGAAGTATGAAGTTGAAGAGTTTTGTAACAGAAGGATGTGAATATTTTGTAGCGTAAGAAAATGAAAAAAGAAATTCCTTCTAAATTTCCCAAGAACTTTTCATATTTTATCACAATCAGTTTAAACATATGTGTAATTCATCCTAAAATTTTTATTGCTTACTAATGCTAATGCAACTAATTAATTATTTAATTAATTTGATTATATTTTTGCTTTAAGAAATTGTGTGATCAACAAACAATAATGCAAAATTACTTAAAATCATTTTGAAGATAATAAAAAGAAGAAAATTAAACTAATACAAATTTGACGTTTCATCCTAATTTTTTCTTTTTTTTCTTTTTAATTCTTTTTTTATTTGACTAAGAAATTAATAAATGTGAAAAAAAAAGAAAAAAAAAACAAACAAACATATTGATTGAATGATACAACAAAAATGCCGCAAGGGATAAAAGAAGGAAAAGAAAGTATCACCTAATTAATTCTTAAAGATAATTCTATTCTTTTACTAAGATTAACTAAAATAAAGAGGAGAAATCAGCCAACCATTTCAGCTTTCAAAAAATTTTTTATTTTTTTTATTTTTTCATTGCCATGTAAAATTACTTTTTTTGGTTGTCACAGTTTTAACAGAAGAATGAGAGAAAGACTGGTTTTGGTAATTTCATGTCAAAGGAACTTTCAATTTTCATTAATTTCATTATAGCTAAATTGCAAATCATCAACAAAACAATTTCCAGAAACATTTAAAAATTAATTTTTAAATAACATTTGAAAAGGGACTTTTAAATATCACATGCAAGAACTTTTCTTGAATTTTTTTTTTTATGAATTCGTGTCAGTTCATTCTTATCAATATTATCATTATTAGCAGTGTCTGAAAAGTAGAAAATTTGCTGTTTCGACAATATTATCGATTAGAGGAAAAGTATTACAATAAATTTACAAATATAAAATTAGTCATTGGCATGATACAGAATGTTACCGTAATCAGTTATTAATATGGTACAGTATGCTATCGGTGCAGTACCGTATCCACACTAAATGGAAAATGTAAAAATTGTTATTTGCATCAGTTTTTTTCAGCGATATTGTCGATTAATAGCAAATATTATGATGATTTTACAAACATAAAACTAATTATTAATATGTTTTCATTTATAATATTACCATATACTACCGTATTATTTCTTTTATTTCTATATCAATGATATCTGAATCCTAAGCTAAAATTTAAAGTGAAAAGTCTTATCCTACAAAAGAAGAAAAAAAAAAAAGATTTAATGAGAATTTTAAATTTTACAGAATTTTTTTACAGAATTAATTTTACAGAAGCGTTTTTCAAAAAAAAAATTTATACGATTTAAAAGTGAAAATAAATGACTGGATGATATTTGCACTTGTAAGTTTTCTTTTTTTTTTTTTTAAACGAAATATACAAAGTACATAATTGATTTTGTGCTCTCATCCTTTTATTTGTAATAAGTGGTTCCTCTATTTTTTGAAATAGGAAGGAAGATCGAGAAACCAAATACATTTTCGTCTTATCAATTTGACAACATTTGCTCGTAAAAGGAGAAAAAATAAATTATATTAAATTTCTAAAAATGACTCATGATAAAATTTCAGGAGATAATAAAAAAAAACTATAAAATACTTCCGAATAAATTATTATTTTTTTTTTTTTTTTTTTTAAAAAAAGTTCTTCTAGGGTTACAGAACAAATGGTTCAAAACAAAGTAATAGCAAAAATTATATTACAAAAACAATATCATTTAAAAACTTTCCTTTTTTAATTAAGACTTCATTTGCTTGAATAAAAAAAAAAAACGAAATTAAAGAAAAAAAAAATAGTAACTGGTATGTAACTTAAGAATTAAATATGCATAAAAATACACAATATTTATAGTAAACAAGTAAACAAAGTAAGCATTGCATGATTTCACGTATTTCCGTATTAAATATAAATTATTATTCTGCTTATTTTCTTTCCTTTCAACTATCTCTTCCGTTTCTTGTGCCCCAAGTTTCCCTGTTTTTTGTAATCGATAAACAAATAAGTAATTATAATATGTCTTATCGACTTTTCATCTTTCTTTTTTCACTTTCTATTCTTTCGGTGAAAACTTATTATTAAAATTTTGTGTACAAATACTTATTATTTCTTTTAAACAACATGAAAAACTTATTTTTCTAATAATAAAGTTGCAAAAAAAAAGAAGTGCCATATCTAATAAAAGAAAAAAATTAAAAAAAATTACATGTAAGATGATTAGTTGATAAATTAGACAAATACTATAATAGAATTTTGTCATTTAATAAAAAAAAAAACAATTTAAATTTATTTACTGTCTGTTTTTTTTTGATAAAATATTCATTTTTTTTTTTAAAAAAAAAAAAAACTGTTAAAATGAATGAACAAATAAAAAATCGAATGATAATATTATCAGTGATAATATAAGGAATGATAATATTAATAAATAATAGAAAGAAATAGAAAAATTTGAATAAATTTCAATAGTTTTATAGTTTCAAATCAATTTATTACTGATAAATCTATCAAAATGTAATAATATTTGACAATCTTTCTCTTTTGTTACTTTTTAATGAAACCAAAATAAGTGTTTTTTTTTTTTTTTTCAAAAAATTTAATGATAGAAATTCAAAATCAAAAATTTAATGACAGAAAATTTGTGTCATATTTTGTTAAATTATCACATGAAGATAACTAGAAATAGTTTTTATTACCTTCACAATTGCCAACATTTATCTGATTAATGAATGAAAGAGAGAGAGAGAGAGAAAAGGGAGGGAGAAAAAAAAAAGAGGGAAACTACTCTTAGATTCCAGTTCCGTTTACGAAGATAAAATAGAAAATTCGAAACTATGTAATATAACTGAAAATTGTCACATCAGACTATCATCATTTTGCATCCATTTTGTCTCTCAGATATCGATGTAAAAAGAAGGAAAAAAGAAAGAAAGAAAAAAATATGCCAAAGTTGTCAAGAAATTAATACATTTTGTCTCGGAATATTATCAGCAATATTATTTTAAGAAAATTGGTGCATTTATTTTTGGATATTATCAATGATAATTTTCATATGACACAAATGATAAATTGATAACACTTGCAAAAAAGTAAATTTATTTATTTATTTTTTTTTTTTTGACATTTCAATTTCATAGTATATTTAAATATCACCACATTTATCCTAAAATATTATCAAGGACAATCACTAAAAGTTACTGTCATTTTCTCACTAAAATAGAAGAAATTGTATATTCAAAATAATTAATTCAAATAAATGTTGTAAATGAAATAGCATAACTATTACTGTATGAGTAGAAATTAATGCATGAGTAATTTAATATCATATCATTGATGATAAGTTGATAATATTTTTTTTATATTTCAATTTCGTTTTGTTATTTTTTGCTTTTTTTTGCTTTTTTTTGCCCCACAATAATATTGAATGATAACTTAAAAGAATCGTTAATTGTTTCATTTTTCATTAACTTTTTTATTTTTATTTTTTTTTAAATATTACTGATTAATTTGAATGTTAATAATATGTTTTAATAAGAGAAATAAATTCCAAGCGAACAGTTTCTTTCCTTTATAAAAATTACTAAGTAATAAATGAATTTTAATATTCCATTATTAAATATCAATAAGAAATTATTTAAGTAATGATTGAATGGGTCCAATTATTATTATATTTAAAAAATTAAATTAAAAATGATAAAAAAATATTGTAATCCTCGTATTATATATATTTCAACGAATAAGCAACTTTTGCACTGTTTTTTTTTTTTTTTTATAATTAAAAAATTTGAAATTAAAATAAGAATTGTAAATGAAAAAATAATACATAAGTGCATGCTAACCAATAAAGCAAACCAATATATTTTATTAAAAATATGCAATGCATGCAAAATGCAAAAATTTGCATGCGATCGCTAGGATATTTGCAAAGTAAATTCAGTATGACCAAATTTATGCAATCATTTGAATTTCGATTAAACAAAAAAAAAAGAAAAGTAAATAAAAACAAACAAACAAAAAGATAAAAAAAGTTAATTTTTAATAAAATTATTTACAAAAAAATGATGAAAATCTTGAAATATTCAAGAAATTCAAGATAATTTATTAAATATATTATTCTTATATTTTCATAATAATTAATTATGGAATGGAAAATGAACAAAAAAGAAAATTTTACCTCGCAATATAGCCATCATTAACAGTTTGAAGTGCTGGTATAACTGTTCGTAAATCATCGATCATTCGTAATTCTTCATTCGTTAGCTCATGCAGTACTGAATGCATAACTGATTGCAGATTTTTCTGTAATAAAAAATAAATATTTTAATTTGAAATAAAAAAAAAATAAATAAATAAATGACAATTTACCGTAATATATTGAACAATTAATGAGAATGCAATACGGAAATTTTTTTTTTCCATTTCATTTTTTTCTTATTATTTTAAAGTGTTTAATTTCTTTTTTGTTTTTTGATGTGAAAGTATTTTTGAAAATGTTTTTGAGTTTGTTAATGTTTAGAAAGGTACTTTAAAAATGAATGCAAAAGTTGTGCATTACTGAAAACAAATTGCAACAATCATTGTTTATTTGAGAAATTCGAAAAATAAAATTAGGAAAAAAAATTGTTTTTTTTTTCTCCTAATTTTATTTTTTTTTTTCTATTACTAAATTTATAATATAAATGCAATCAATATTACAGCCATAATTTTTTCATTTCATAATCAGTTTGACAAATTATAGCATTTAATAATTTATTAAATTTGATAATATTTGATCTGATTAATTACTAATAAACATTTGATAATTTTTAATTTTGGTTATACTATAATATTAGATGTTAATAAATAAAAAGACCTATTAATGATTTAGAGAAATAATTTGATTAATCTTTCTGAGGATAAAAACAAAATTAAAAAATAAATATTTATCAAAAGTAAAGTGCAAAAGAAAATTTCAAAAAATGAAAAAAAAATCTGAGTTTTAATTCTAAAATTTCCAATTATCCACCTTACTAATTCATTATTATTATTATTATTGTAGTGCAACATGAATATAAAATAAATTTTTTATTAAAAATTGAAACCAATAAAATAAAAAAGAACAAAAAAAAAAAAGAAGGAAAAACAAAGTAAAATTAATTATTAGGTGTAAATTGAAATTCAAATCGAATCCAATCGTTCATTTCAATACAAAACAATCAATCGATAAGGAATCAATTAACTAGTATAATTAAGCTTTACTTTGTTTAATAATTCCTTCTCCTTCCTTTTCTTTTCTTCTTTCTTACAAATATTTTCCATATTTCATTGAATTTAAATTCATCTAATCAACTGAATGAAAATTAAACAAATTCAATAAATTAAGAATTAAAATTTATTCTCCAGCATCTCTCTCTAATCCAATCCAATTTCACTTCCGTTTCCCTCTTCAAATCAAAATATTTCAACAATATACGATGATAACAGTATGAGAAAAGTAGCAAAGATGGCAATAACATACATCCCATCCATCCATCCTCCTTCAACTGCAAATGTAATGCAAAATGCACCGCCGTAGCTGTTCAACCGCTCCGCCTTCAGACCAGCACTAACCTGTCCTTCCGTTTTCAAACATTTTCTAAATTTCATATCTGCCTCCAAATGTTTCTATAGATAGATAGATAGATAGACAGATGTTGTGTGTAATTGTAGTGTCTTATGCATAAATACCAATGTTTATCAAATATTAATGATAAATACTGATATTATCATTTCAATTCATGTTTTTAAATTATGACAATCATCTTCAACTTTTAAATTATTAAATTCATTAATCTGAACGCACATGTATGATATGAAGTTAGTTATCAAGAATATTATTCCTAATAATTATAATTATGTTTATAAGGACTATAATTAATTTTAGCTTAATTATATTACACATAAATAAAATATATGCATATAGATAGATATACACACACACACACATCATTAATATGTATTAATAATTAATCTAGTTTAATTATCTTAAATGTATAACTAACGGGTAATGACGATGAATAATGATAATTTAATAAAATAATGTTAGATTAGTGTAGTAAATAGTAAAAATAATAACGATAATGATGACAATGATAATGACAAGGATTTAAGATAATGATGATGATAGCGAATAACAGTGACGATAATAATGAATAACAATTTAAGATAATCATAATGATATGTGGTGATAACTAATGAGTAAGTAACAATGCCTTTAGTTTTTTTTAAGTTCTTCAATACAAATTTATTAGTATACTATTAGCAAATCCGAAAAGAAATGTTACGTCTATTAAAATGTCTTTTTATTAGTATTAAAAGAGGAATAATTACGAGTGTAATTATCAAATTGTGAGCACTCAATGCATTACAATTACAATGATAATTATATGACCCATCAAATAATAGTATTAAATATATACTAAATCTTAAATAGTAATAATAAATATAAAAAAAACGAATGCAACTTTTAGCCCTAAAATCAAAACACAAATCTCAAAATGAGTGCCTCGGGATGAAAAGACTTATTTTTAAGAAAATATACCATCGCTATTAAATGTTGAAATGCGATAGTGCTCAGATACGCTGCGTCAGACATAGAATGTGGGATTTTTTTAATCAATCAAAACACATTTTATTGATTTTCCCACTACGCCCATCGCATCATTGCTCATAAAACTGATTAAAAATCACTTCCTCCAAATCAAATCATTTCAAATGTCAGATTTTGTAAGATGCGCGCACTTGAAGAAAATTTTGTCCTAATTCGGGTGAACACCAAATAAAAATTGATGTCAACATTTGAACAACAAATGGTAGCGTATGAGCTAATTCCAATAATTCGATAAATTTTGCGATAATCGTTCAGGTAATTTTGCTGAATTTATTGGAAAACAAGAATGATGCTTGGAAGAGATAGATGAATTTAATTTATTTCCAAAATAATTCGCGATTGGTATATTATTGTAGTAACCAGTTATGTACTACACACCCACTTTCACCCAGTGTAAGATTACTACTTGCAGTCATCAACATTCGACAAAGTGCAACACGGATGACTCACCCTGCCGAAAGGAAAACTTTATTCAGTGGACTTTCATTCATGTCGATTGTACAGCAGAATCTTCACTAATTTAACCATACATTTATCAACAAAACATAACAAAAACCAATCAAAAAATAATCCTTTCAGAAAAGAGGTTCAGGGAACTCGAAAGCAATATCTTTTCCGGTCAAATGTTTGTAGATTGCCGAAAATGTGTCCACCTGAAATGAGCAAAATGAATTTATTCATTCAACACAGTGTTGCTCACCTTCTAATATTTCGCATGTAACCCTAGCACAAACCAGTATATTTGCCGTCATGTGAACTGCCATAAATCAATAATTATTCATGAATCTAAAGAAATCTTTTTTAAAAAAGCGTAATCCGTAGCTTAAGTTAGCTTTGCTTTGTCTTAGTTTATCGATGAACAACCAAGAAAATATCTTCCACAAGAACAAACCCATATTTGGAAAGAAAAGCTAACATTTTACCGACAAATTCTTGCAACTATTGCAGAATACAAACATGTGCATACATCATAAGATATTATGATCAATGCAACATTCAACAATCATATAAATGAACAGAGAGAGAAACATGTTTAGAAGGTCACACTACATGCCCTTTCTAAAATTTGTCTCCACGGTTCGGTTAAACCAATAAAATGAGAAATAGCAGAAGCAGAGAGAACAAAACGTAAGCAGTTACAACTATTCGATCAATAATTTCTTTTGCATATACCTATTCGGACAAAGCATCCACTGTTAAATTCAATTGTGCTTACCTTATGTTCTACATTCGTTTGCTGAGTCTTATCAAGGTGCACTTTCATGATACGCTTTCCGTCTAATTTCACTCTGATCCTCCGTCCAACAACTTCAGCTGGATATACCAAGTCAGCAAGCATTGCATCATGAACAGCAGTCAGCGTACGTGAACGTGGACGCTTCTGTTTCTGTGGTTTCCTATTCTTACCGCGCTTAGGCTTTGGTAATATACGCCGCTGAAATTAATATTAAGAGTGACGACAACAGGTCTCTTTTCAGGTCTTTAAATTCTGTAAAGCAAGGATTCACCTACCCATATCTATTTTCACCAGTCTGTGCTTGAAATTATCATACGAATTATGTCATAATTCAGGAAATGATGAAACATTCCTTACCCTTGCAATAAATACTACATGCTTGCCACTAAATTTCTTTTCCAATTCACGCACAAGGCGAGGTTGAATTTTTTGAAATTGTCGTAACTGTGGTACGGGTACATAGACAATGATACTCTTTTTGTTATTTGCATTTGGCACATCGACTTCCTGAAAAACTAATAGAACAGATATGAAAAAAAACAACGCTTAAAAGAAAGATAAAAACCAGACATAACAAAGGAAAAAAGAAAAATAGTTTAAAGTTATTGCGCCTTACAAATTCGACAACACAATCCTGAATCTCTATAACGTTATAATTTCTATTATTATCATAATTACTATACCTTAGCGCCGACAATGTAAAGTTCACGTAGCTGAGCCCGAATATCAGAATTACTTTCTAAATCGGCGATCGCATTTGATACTTGCTTTTCCAATTCATCCGGCACTTTTCCTTCCGGCACAACAATCTTCGATGAACCTTCCGGCATCTTTTCCTCGACAAATCTGCTTTACCAAGCAAAAATGAACTTCCCAAAAATTCCTCCCTTAATAATGATAATCATAAACTCATAAACATAATGCCAGTTATATTTCTTTCGATAGTACAAACAAGAGACATAACATACAAAATGAAAGTCAGAGTAGGAGAAAAAATAACTACATTTAGCTATGAATGAATAACTACTATGCAGTCATTATACTTCAAAACTTAATACATGAGTGTAATTGAAACTAAATAATGCGGATGAAAACGAGAGTGAAGATTTCAACCTCACACATCAAAGATGTAAGTCACGCAAAGAATACGCTTAACACACGTGAAATCCACCAACACACATCACAGAAGATAGAAACAGCGCCACGCAGTACTTAACAAAGGCCTAAATACGTGTGCAAATAGTGCAGCTCATGTCAAACGGCCAGTATGAAACTCCTTCGGATCAACTGTTCTAAATTTATATTTTACAAGGATTGAGTGAAAGGATGTCTCGATTGAGAGTCGAGAAGTCTTTTAAAAGTGATGCGAAGGATTCATTTAGTAAAGGAATTTAGTTGGGTCGGAAGGTAATAGATAATTCAAGAATTTATAATCGCAAGATAATGTGAGGTAATTTAGGAATTTATAATCATGAAAATTTTGAAGTATGAATTTCAGGAAAAAGTTTCCCGGGAAGAAATATGCTAAGTAAGTACAATTTTTATTGACTGAAAACTTCTTTTCTACAGATCAACCGTAATTCCTGCGTGCTTAACTCATAATACTAGGGTTATAGGTCAAGGTCATCTTCTTTTATTGTACGATGCACGGTTTTCTATCTTCTGATAGTTATCATCTTAATATCAATCACTTCCAAAAAAAAAAAAAAAAAAAAAAAAAACCATATTTGTTGATCATACAAAATTAACTGTGCATTCATTTTGCTAGGAATTTGTGATTTAATTAATCTTGTAAACAAAATCTTATTTGACAAATACTAAACAACAAAAATTATTGTAGTGCAATGAAATAATTATTGATTATTTACATTGTGCACAACGAATTCGTTGAATAATAAAATACGATGAGTACAAAAAAAAGAAAAAAAAAAAAAAACATATTTGTGTCAAATAAAGTTAGGCGTTTAAATATACATAATGAAATATTAAATATGACAAATCAAAATTTGTTATCAAAACTTTTATGCAAATTAATGATAGGAGTGATTTGTCATTGAAAGTTTGATAAAAATCAAAATGTATTGTTAAATATTTGACAAAAATGAAAGTTTATCATTGGGAGTGTAGTGATAAGCAAAAATATATATATATTATCAGAAGTTTGATGATTTTATCTTTTATCAATGAAATTTTTTTCAAATGAATTTTTATCAGTGAAACACTGTAAGGAATAAAAGTGGAAGTAGTTGAGTTAATTCATATCATATCAGATATCAGTGATAATTAGCTTTGCTGAAACAAATTTATATATTTATGTAAATGTCAACCAATGATAATTTAGAAAATTGTTGTATTCAAAATATCATACATTCATAAAATTAATAAAATTTTTTGCATCATTTTCTTTTTTTCATTCATTGTTATAAAAAATGAATAAATTTAATTATTTCTCTTGATATTTAACATTTAAAAAATGGCAAAAGTGATAAATTTCTATTCTAACATTATCAGCTAATCAATAAGCCAAGAATGATTATCACATAATTTCATATCAATCAACTAATCATTACACGATATCATCTTTTCATATTAATCAGTGATAAGCTTTTAATTATTCAAATTTCACTGATAACTCTTCACTTAATTTCTTAATTTGGTAACTTATTTAGAACCATAATTTACTTAATTTAAAAAGAAAAGAATACAGATTTTTAATAAATCAAATATCAAATTTTTACTGCCAAATATTTACTAAATTTATAATAGAACTTAAAAGAGAAATATTAGAAAGAAGGCTTGATGATACTTAAATTATTATAAATTTATTATCAGTGTAGAACAATAATTTTAGATTGATGATGAATGATAGATAATTTTCATATAATTTCTTTGAAAATTCTTTTCTGTTTCTATAATTATTCAAATTTCTACCAATTTCTTAAATAATATATTAATATAAAAATAAAAACAGAACATTTTTATTTAAAGCAAACTAATTTCAGGTTCATTTCCGGAAATTTATATAAATCGATAATATGATGACGAAGGTTTTATCGTTATTATTTATGTAACATACTGTACGATTGCTTGCAACTGTTATGCAAATTTGAAATCGAAATCAAAAATATTTATTGAAATTAAAAACCAATATTTTCACACAAATCCAATTTATTAACATTAACATAGAATTCGAAATTGGTTGTTTTTTTTTTTTTTTTTTTTTTTTTTTTTTTATGTATTTTTTATTGCTTTAGGGTCTTAAATAAGTTTATCGAATTTAAAAAGTCAAATGCATCCATAAAAACTATATCAGATTTATCATTTTTGCATTTTAAAATAAAACTGTTAGAATTTGGAAATAATAATTTCAATAAAATTCCGTTTTTATTTTAAATGCTTTTGATTTCAAGTCATTGTTTAATTCCTTCTTATAACTTCATCTTTGATTCCATTTTTGAGCAGATTTAAAATTTAATTCAAATTAATTTATAGATAAAATAAACAAGGGAAGTGAATATCTATTTTAAAAAAAACTGTCATTTTTTTTTTTTTTTTTTGTTTATTTAAAAGTCTAAAAAATAAATGTATTAGAATTATCATCATTGTATTTTAAAACAAAATTGATAAAGTTTTTTTTTTTTTTGAAAAAAATTAATCTAACATTTATTTCCGTTCAAAAAAAATCCTTTTCATCACATAAAAAAATCAGTTAATTAATTAACTAAGAAATTCATTGCTTTATTTGCCATAGCAAAATTTTAAAATAATAAATAATCAAAAAGCTAAAAATATTAAATGAAATATGCAAATTTATTCTTTTTTTTTGTCAAACACACAATATCAAAAGTAATAATATTTTAAATAAATAGCAATTGCCAACTTTTTTTTGATAATTAAGGCTAAACTTTCAATAATATTTAACATAAAACTTCAAATACTGTATTATAAACCTGATTATGCTAATTTATTAATTTGGATTTTTTTTTTATTCTCAGTAAAGTTATCATTTCAATTTCTGTTTTGATTTAAAAAAAGAAACGAACTTATAATTTGAAATTTAAATAATCTTCATTACCTATTAATTTTGCAAATTTTGCAGAAAATAAACAAAAATCAATAAATCAATCATCTGTATTACGTCATTAAAACGAAAAAATATGATCTGCCAACTTTTTTTCTTCAAAAAAAAAAACCTTAAATTAAATTATGGAACAAAACTAATTAAATAATTTTGTGTAATTATACATGCCGCTTTAGTTTAAAAAATTTTTTCAATCAACCATAATTTGTGTTCGCGAAATAATCGAATATTTTTTCAGGAATAACATTTCCGGAATAACCGGACAATGCCAATCCATCATCATAATTATTCTTACCTTTTATTTTCATTTTTTGCACTTCCAAAATTATTATCCATTTCGATAAATATTTACTTTTTTTGGTTTACATTATGACATTATTGTGTCTAATTGAAATTTCATCGATTAAAATTTAACATTTTATCAATTTTAACTCTCAAATAACTCAAATAAATACTTTCAAATGAAAATTATTCATTGAAACAAAAACATTCAGCAAAGCTTTGTAGTAAAAAATTTAAATTTTACAATTCGTTTTTTCTTCATTTAATTAAAATTAGTGATTTTGAAAAAAAGATTTTTAAAGTATGTTTACATTTTATGCATATGCAAATTGAATATTTAGAAAAATTTAAATCAGCTAACCAAACTCATTCCAATGTTAATGCAAATTAATTTATTAAAAAAATTCATTCCACAAAACGTATTTTAAAAATATTAAAATATTAGGTAAGTAAGAACAAAAGAAAAAAAATTCCAATAATTTAAATAAGAAAAGCAGAAATAACAGAAATCATTGCAACAAGTTAGTATTTCAAATGTATGCAAATTGAACATTTAAAAATTTGAAATCAAATATTTCAGATTTAATAAAATAATCAGACATTAGCATTTATAATATTACTTCTAAAAAGATTTTAGTCGAAAACTTTTTTAAATAAGTTTAAATTAATTTTGAAAAAAAAATGTAACTTTTTTTTGTACATAATTCTTTCTTTTTCGTTGTTTTCTCTTTTCTTTTTATCAAAGATTAAAATAAAAAGTAAACAAATAGCTTAATTAGATAGCTAACTTAATGCTACTTTAATTAGCTAAAATGCTTTCGACAAATTTTTAAAATTGCGAATTTTTAACAAATTTCTTCATCTTTCTTATGCGATCCATTTAATTATACTAATACAATAAGCACTTGATAAAAATGCTAGTTTTCTTCATTTTTTGTTTTTTTTTTTTGGTATTATTTGTTATATAATTTTGTTTTATTTAACTTTAAGATTTTTTTTTTATTTTTTTGTATTCTCCTTAAATTGCTATCATTATTTCATTATTTGTTTATTAGCTTTCATTGTTATTCCTGGATTTCTTTTGCAGTAAATCCTAACAAAATTCGTTTATTAATTAATTAATATAAATATATTTGATCAAAATATATTTATTAATTTCTGTGAAAAAATAATTTCAAAAAAAAAAAAAAGAAGGGAAAATTAAATATAATTTTTGTAATTTAAGTGAATAGCAAAAATTTGCATCAAATGAAAGATTATTAGTAAGATATTTATAATAAATGAGATTAAAAATTGGTTTGATTGCATGTGCAAATATTTGAATGATTTTTGATGCATGATTTACCCGTGATTTCTCCCATGATACCCATGATGCCCATGATTTCCCTTATGATACGATTCTCTTATTGTACTCGTGATTTTCCGCTTGGTAAGCATCATTTCCCACTTAAAAAAACGTAATTCCCTTCATAATAATCATATTGAACTAGAATACTATTAATAAATAAGTCAATTTATTCTAAAATGACATAAGCAAATATGCAAATATAAATATGAATAAATAAACAAACAAATATGTATATATGTTATTTATTTATTTATTTTAGAATTTTTTTCCTAAAATTTTTATAATATATTGAATATAATGGATAGAGAGTTGGATGCTCTTTCCTTTTTCCTTTTTCTTTTTTTTTCTTTCAAAGCATTCAATTTAATCTGACTCTTCATTTTATCATTCACGTGTACGTTTTGCATGTACACGTGAATTTAATCTGATTCATTTTATCATTCACGTGTACGTCTTGCATGTACACGTGAATTTAATCATTAAAATGAATCATTGTTGATTGATAAATGAAAAAAATTCATAAAGCGCAAATAATACTTTCGTTTTTATTTCATATGCATGGAAAAGCCATAATTTCACTTACAATTTATCAACTTATCACTCCGTTATTACAGCACTGATCATTTCAGGTTGATTAATTGTGTACACCTGTTGATTGTTTACTTTAGTCCATTGTGCTGGTGATGCTTTGCCGACAATGAAGAAGAAACCATTGCATACAATCATTAGAACAATAATTACATAAAAAATTTTTGACCTGAAAAAAATAAAAAATAATATTTGTTTGTTTTTTTGTTTTTTTTGCTTTTCTGTCTTTTTTTCTTCAATTTTTAGTTTCTATAACATTAAAAAGAAGAAAAAAATTTGAAAATTAATAGATAAAATTTGCATTATTTTCTTTTTATTTTTATATAAATTAGATTAAATTAAAAGAAAAGAGAATTTTACTAAATTAATGGCTAAAAGTGTTGATTAAAAATAAATTTAATGGCTAAAAATAATTTTTTCCTTTTGTTTGCGCTTTTTTTTTTTTTATCATTGATAAGATTTCGTTGTAAATCAATTGTAATTATTGATCAGAATATTATTAAATAATTTTGCCTTATTGTTCAAATAATTAAAAGGTACAAATCTATGATCAAAATTTTGATAATATTTATTGTTTTATCATCTGATGATTCACTGTTAAAGTTAAAACTGATAATATATGTAAATTTCATCATGAATAGTTGAATAATCATAATTAATTGTTAATTTTACCATTGTTCATTGGTATTGTCTGGTGCAACAAGCGATACAAATAGTGGAATAATTAAAATTATCAAACAACTGATAATTGATAAAATTGATAAGACAAAATGTGTATGTTGGCGAGCAACCTAAAATTAGTATTTTTTATTGAATTAATTAGTTGATTAATCTGATTGATTAAAGAAAGTTTTGGATTAAAATCTAATTCATTTATATGTTTAAATTAATTAATCAGTCATTTTAATTAATTATTATCTTATTTGCATATAAATGAGATATAGAATAATTTTATTATTACAATATATTATTATAATTATAAAAGTAAGAAAAGTTTGTATTTTTTTTTTTTTACCAATTGTGCACTTTTAATTACGCCAACACAATTTAATCCACTAAATGCGATCGCTGCTGTGTAAGCTATTTGACCTAAACTAGCTGAATTTGTTGGTATCAATGCTAAGAATATGAAGCATCCTATCATGAAACCTGAAAGAAAAAGAAAAATGAAAACATTAAAAGAGTAAACAAACGATAAAATAGAATGAATAATTGCTTAATAAAATAATTTGAGATAAATTAATAAAAATAAAGAATTAAATTAAGAGATAATGCAGTTAAACTAATTTAACTTTTATCATACGCATAGATAGTATAATTTATCAAATTTTTAATAAAGTATTAATCAACATTTATTACTTTTTAAAAAACTTTAAAAAAAAAAAGAGTAAAGTAACAAGCAAATTTTTTTTTATTCATTAAAGTAATAATACAATTTATTAAAATTCAAATAAAAAAATAATTTTATTAATGAAAATGTGAAAGAGAGAGCGAGAGAGAGTGAAGTAAATAAATAAATAAATAAATAACCTTGTGAAATAAAAGTAAATAACATTACTCGAGCTTTTTCACCACAACAAGCAGCATGATCACTTAATGGACCAGCAAGAACTTTAACAATAATTGAAAATATCATTGGTAATGCTGATGCTAAACCAGCTTTTTCTACGGTAAAATTTAATACCTAAAATTAATTAACTGAAAATAACTAAGATTAATTTAAAAAAAAATGAAAATAATTGGTGAAATTGATTAGTTATAGCATTTAAGAATATGTAAATTTCATTAGCAAAAAGTACTAAAACAATAAGCAAATTTATTTGTTTGCTTATCAAAATTTTTAAATTTAAAAATTATCATTAAAACTTTTTTATTCACTAATTTCATTATATAACAAAAGAAAAAAAGAAATTAATAAGAACTGATCATTTTTATCATTAATAAATTATGTATAAAAATATGTGATAAAACATACTTCATTAAGATACACCGGTCCGTACTGGAAAAATATTTGAAAACCTAAGGTACCACCAATACTCGCAATCCAAACACCCCAAATGGAAATATCACGAATGATTGCACTGTGTGGTACCTTGGGCATCCTCTTCGCATATGTCACCTCTTTACCAAATTCAATTTTTGACAATTCTTTTGAACTTACATTTCTGCATGAAGAAAAAGGAACTATTAGATTTTATAAGACTTTAATCTTATTAAGTCTTACAAAAAAAAAAAAAAAAACAAATTTAATGTTAGACATTTATGATTATACAAAAGTTTAACTTTATATCAAATCTTTGTAATATTTTAATCTATGTTTAATCTCACAAAATTCTAATCTAACTTTTTTTTTTTTTTTCTAACATTTGCATTATTTGCAAGAATTACTGAAAAAATAAAACCTGTTTTTTCTATTTACTTTTTATTAATAAATAAAATTTAAGGATAATTCAGTGTTTACAAATTTTAAAATACAATATAAGATCTTCACTTTTTTCTAAAAAAAAAAAAAAAAGAAATTAAATTTGCTGTAATATAACAAACTTATGAATTTTTGGTGAATCTCGATAAACAATATAAAATATAATTATGATAACTAATGTAAGTGCACCATGAATATAGTATGTTGCTGGCCAGCCAAATGATGACACACATAAGGCTCCCGACACAGGCATTGTAAACAATGGGCCAATCTGTAAACAAAACAATTGTTTAATCTTTGATCGCATAAATTTATGAAATAACAATTTATAGTAAAAATAAAGAATTTAATCCATTAAAAAAACAAAAAAAAAAAAAAAAAAGATATAATTAATGTAATTTTCATTTTTTTTTTTTTTATAAAAGAGAAAAAAGGATGAAAAAAATTATTGCAAATAATTAATTCTTTTGATGATGAAAAAATAAAATAAATAAAATTTTATTATCAGTAACAAAAATATTTGTCACAAAAGAAACCTGCAAGTGACACATTATCAGTGACATATACATTCCACTATCAGCTAATAGTGACCACTGTGACGTGATGGTACCAAGTGTTGGATAAGCTGATGCATAAGCAAATCCCTCAAAAATTTTGCAATTAAATATTAATTATTAATTTTTTTTTTTTTTAATTTATATAATTATTAGATAAATTGGGTATATTTCGACTTTTAATCATCAAATTATTTTCATTAAGACTTAAAGGGAATTTGAAGAACAAATATACTCTGACAGTATCACTTATCAAAGGTATTAATAATCAAATCAATATATCATTTGACCATAACTTATCAATGATCACATAATTTATCATAAAATATAATTTACGCAGAAAATAACCCATCAATAATCGAATATAATTTATCAATAACTATACTATTTATCATTAAATCAAAAGCAAAACATATTAAAAGCCATATAACTTATTGATAATTGCATAATTTATGCAAAAAAAAAAAAAAAAAATCAAATTTTTTTTAGCAATTTTTTAAAAAGTTATTAAAAAAGTAATTTTCTAAAAATTAATAAAAATGTCAAAAAATTCTTTTATTTTTTTAATACTTCCAAAAATCGCATAGCAAAAAGAAATTCAAATCCAAAATTAGCAAGCCAAGGAATTAATGAAGTGGAAATTGCCGATATCATTCCAAATAATGTAAATAATTTCCTAAAAATATTTAAAACTAAGTTAAAAAAATCCACCTCTATTAACTGATAAAAAAAAAAAGAAAAAAACTTAGCATTATCAAAAATGATAAATTATCAATGTTTCAAAATTTTTTTATAAAAAGGATTGATTTAAAAAAAAAAAATTTAAAAATTCAGCAAACTTACCGAATTGATAACTTTTCTTCAAGTACAATTACTGGGTAAGTACCAATAAGATTACCAATTGCTGTTGCCGAGAATAATAAACCTTTTTGAGTTCTTGTAAAATAGTATGTTTTTGCTGATGAATCTAAAATTAATTTAATAAAATTCTGATTTAAAATAATATCAACATTTTTTGATTATTTATTATTCATATTCAAATTATTCCTTACTCATTGGAATTGGAATTTGTTTTTCTTTCATTATCACTACAGTCTATTAATTTTATAATTTCTAATATATAGTATTATTTTAATTATAATTTTCAATTTCTACGTTATATCTTTTAAACAAAATTTTCTAAATCAAAAAAAAAAAAAAAAAAAAAAAAAGAAAATGCAAAAAAACATAGTACAAAATGAAAGGAAGGAAAAGAAGAGAAAAAACTCGCATGATTGTTGCGCTGTTGTGTTGGATATTTGCGCCGTTTCATCAGACATACAGATAATTGTAAAATTTAAAATCAAAGTATTACTGGTAATAATAGAAAGTGCTAATGTTGAAATGATTAAAATTAAATATCGTGTATGATTTGCATAATACATTTGTTGGGAATGTGGCAAATGTTTTATGTTCTAAAAAAAAAAAAATTAATTAATTTTTGCTTATTATTTTTTATTTTTAAATTAATGATAAATATCATTGACGTAAATATATATATAAATATAGAAAACTACATTTTTTCTTCTCAATGTAATTAATTAATTAATTAATTAACCGTGTTTTATGTCAATTTTATGAAGGACAGTAAACAATTATTGATGATAATAAATGACAATTGATATAAATGATAATTTATCTAATCAATACATGGATGATAGGTAAATTGCTATAGAAAAGATGCGATTACTCAGCATTTAATACAATAAGCATTTAATACAATAAGCGTTATCTATAAGACAATAGCTTAGTTTGTTATTGCATTAATATAAACAAACATTTAAACAATTAAAATAAATGAAAATTTTTAGAAAATCAAATTTGAAAATAAGAAATGTTTGTACTTTTAACAAATGATGCAATTGACAAAATTTACCAAATCGATTTCTTAGTGATTGATTTTTGTCAATTTTCTTTTCTTTTGTTCACAAAACAATTATTTTTAAAATTTCTCGCACAAAATGCACTTCATAAAATGTTAAACTTTAATGGTACTCCATATGATAAATGTTAATGATTCTTTTAAAAAAAAAATTCTGCAAAAAAAAAAAGAAAGAAAGAAATGAAGAAAAGCAAAACAAATTTAAAATTTTAAATGAGAAAAAAAGAGCTAAGAAAATTTTTAGATTACGAACTTTATTTTTCATTTTCAAAATGTGAATCAAAAAAGTAATGTAGGTAGGAGTTAAAAATAAAATAAATAATTGAACAAAAATTCCATAGCACTTAAAGAAAATATTTTAGCTTATTTGAATCACTCACTTTAGTTTCTTTAAAAATAAATATTATAATACTGCATTATCAACTTGGAAATATTTGTAATAATACTTAAACAAATAAGTAAACACGCAGTATTTAAATGAATGTGTAAATCAAATGGTAAACAATTGTATTAGTTAACATATTCATTCATTAAATTAGAAATCAAATTTAATAATATAATAAATTTAATACTTAATAATTGAATATGAGAAATATTTCATAAAATTTCTAGAAAATAAATGAAAAAAATTGTAAATTTATAAAAAAAAATTTATTTAAAAAATTGGTTTGCTTTTTTGCTTTTACATAATTCTATTCACTTTGCGTTTTCTTTTTTTTTTTACAATAAAAATTCCTTCATAACAATTTTAAAATATTTCATCAATTTTTCAACAATTTAGTTTAAAAATGAAAAATGAATTTTAATCTTATCAAAAATAGATTTTATTTATTAATAAATTGATAATGCCAGCAGTTTAAAAAAGTATAAAAAAAAATTTTTTTTTCAATAATATTTCTATGCTTCATCTTATTTATTAAATATTTGCAAAAAAAAAAAAAAAAGGAACTTTTAAAATTTTCGTATTTCTAAAATTAAAGAAATATGAATCATATTTATTTGAATGTACAAATATTTTAAATGTAAAAATTTACCAAACAAATATTATGGTAAAACTTGACTTATTATTAAAAAAGTTTAATAATAATAATACATACTTAAATATTGTGATATAACTTTGATTTACTTTAATTTACTTTAATGATAGTACTATTTTAAGTAATATTAATATTAATTCAAGTATTTACTTTTTTTTTTCTGTTTTTCATTACAATTAATGATCAGTGTACCATAAAAAAAAGATTGTTGAAATTGATTGGATCAATTATTGATTGATTGAAAGAATTTATCTTCTGCTCTTATCACTTCTAATCAATACTCTATCAGTTCATTTCTTTCTAATCTTTTTTTTTTCATTTTCATTTTATTTCTATTGTTGTCGAGAAAAACAACAAAATTTCTTATTTATTTTTTACTTTGTTTATTGATTTCGCTGAAATATAAAAATTTTAAATAAATTTGCAATGTGATAATTTTTCCTTTTTTTTTTTTAAAAAAATATTATCAATGTTTTTTGTTTATTTTCCAGCTTATTTTTTAATAAATTTATTTTAAAAATCTGTAGAAAAGAGTTTTTATTTAATTTCAATAAAGAATTTGAAATTTTTTTTTCATTGAAGAGATAAGGACGAGAAGAAAATGATAAAAAATCGATAAATTTGAAAAATTATTGAGGAAAACAAGAAAAAAAAAAATGGAAAAAAAAAGCACAAAATTAAATCTAACGAAGTGATAAATAGTAATTAATCAAATGCAATTAATTAGATTCCAAAAAAAAAAAAAAAGTAAAGTTGTACAACATTTTTAGAACAGTAATAATAACGATGACAATAATAATTATTATTATAAATTAATTAATGATAATAGCAATAATTATAAATAATAAATAAAAGTTTGGGGAATATTCAAAATATAAATTAAACGTACTTCAAAATATATTTCAAAAAAAAAAAAGAAATATTGGAGAAAGAAAAAGAATATCAAACGAACTTTATCTTTTCTCTTCGTTTATTTGTTTTTTTTTTCTTGGTAAAACTTTGTTTGATTTTATTTTCAACTTATAAAATAACAAATAAGTCTACAATTTTAAAATATAACAGTTGTACGTGAAGTAAACGTAGTGATTGTACGTTAAGTAAGCGTAATGATTGTACGTGAAGTACAACGTAATACGTCATTACACCGGAAAAAAAAAGAACATATTCATGCAGTGAGGTAAGAAAATAATTTTAAAATAAATTTGATATATTTTTTTTTAATTGTTCAATTAATAAAATAATTTTAATCAAATATAATTTTTGACTTATTTACACTTTTATTTAATTTCAAAAATAAAATTCAGCAATAAAATAAAAGCGTTGAAGTAAACAATAAAAAAAAACAATGTTTTTCCTTTCTTTTATTAAAAATAAAAATGAAATGAAATAAAATAAATTAAAATTAAATAAACGATATTAAAATGATGAATGATTTGTGATATTATCTAGAAAGTATTAGCTGAGTAATAGCAATGGGACATTTGACATACAACAAAATGACAATGACAACTTTTTGGATTTAGTTGTTACATTGACTTTTGTTTTTTTTTTCTTTTTTTATTTGAGAGATTTTCGTAGTTTAATTTTTGATCTGTTATCGATGAGGCAATTATGTGTCAAATTCTAATGTACGATCATTTCTTGTAGTCATTTCAATGAATGAATGAATGAATGAATGAATGAATGAAAAAAGTAATAGTTTAAAGTATACATTGATTAAGTTATTTATTAAAGTAATAATTTTGAAGAGAGAAAGTAATACTTTAAAATACATATATATATATATTGTTAGCACTCATTTATTTATTAAAATGCATTTTTTTTAAAAGGTACTACTTTAAACTATCATTCGACCATTTCAATTTGTTAATAAATATCGAACGGATAACAATGCTATTAAGCTAATATTATTTATTTTCTTAAGAAATAATTTTAAATTAATAAATCAATTAAAAATTTTTTGAAACATAAAATAATGAAAGAAATGAAGAATGAAATTCATTTACTATTACTGAAACATTCCTGAAAACAAACAATGTAAATTGAATGAAATTAATTTAATTTTTTTTTTGCCTTTTAAAAAATTTAAATAAAATAAATAAGTACACCTGTCGTTATATAAAAAAAAATATTAAAATTTCTTTTTAATAACAAAAAAAAAAAAAAAAAAAAAAAGGGAAAAAGTGAATAAAAATAAAAAAGGTAAAAGCATACTAAAAAATTGCTTACAAAAGAAAAATAAAATACTATAATTTAGTGATAAAATATGATAAGAACTGATAATATCACAAAATAAAAAATATTTTGTTGTATGAAATGAATGAAATAAACATGCATGTCAAGATTGCTGTGTAAATAATGAAAAGTTCGCTTTTAGTCAACAAATCATACATATATGTATGTATGTATGTATGTGCATATGTGATTGCATGCATGCATGCATGCATTAATATGTTTGCATTCAATTCAGCAATTCAGCTCATCCTAAACTGCCCAATAAAATGATTTTATCTTACTAATGCTCGTTTAAATTTGAAAATAATAAAAAGAAATGTCTCTTTTTTTTTCTTGAAAAAAAAAAAAATGATTTTGTGATAGTAAACAAAAAATTTGAGTTGAAATAAACAAAAAAAAAAAAAAAAAAAACAAAAACAAAAATATTTGCTATTTTATTAATTTAGCTGAAATTTAAATTTAAATTTAAGTTGATTCTTAGCTAAAAGTATGATTTCAACCATACTTTTCAAATTATTTATTCTACAAATTCTCGTAAATAATTTGATTTGAAATAATTCGAATTGATTTTGAAAAATATTACTATTTAATCATTTAATTTAATTTTCTGATAAAAGAAAATTATTTTAGCTATTCTATTTTAATTATAAAATAAAATAGTATATTTGCTTGTATTAAAATTTGTTAAAATTTTTACTGTCAAGAGAAAGAGAGAGAGAGAGAGAGAGGGAAAGAAGAAAAGAAAACAAAAACAAATAAAACGATGAACAGTTAACAACAATTTTTTATTTCTTTTTTTTTTTTTTTTAAATTCAAAATTATTCTAATCTATGCTAATATATTTGTTTCTATTTATTTTACTGAAAATAACAATTTTTTTGTTCCTTTTTTCTTCAATTTTCTAAATTTTCTATAAACGAAAATACATAATCAATGAATAAAAATGAAAAATTAAAAATAAAAAAAAAAAAAAAAGAAAAGCATTTTTTATTATTAATTTAATTTCTGTTTGACTTTTTAAAATTTTTCTTCATAAATTGACATTTTTTTTTTCTATTTTTTCCTTTCTTTCTTTTAAAAAAAAGCAAATACATTAAGTCATTAAATGACTGTAAACAATTTACACAAATAAATTTTATTATTATTAACAAATTTGCAACCATCATTTGAAACAAATTTAAATCTTTTAAATTTATTTTAAAAACTATTTTCTACTAATTGGTACTAAACGATAATTTCATATATTTACAAAATTTATTAGAAATTACCATTCTATGCATTCCACAGTAAAATTCATTTTTATTTTTCTTTGCTTTTCTTTTTATCAACCAATTAATGCTTATTTTAAATAACTTTATAAACAGCCATCAAATTCAATGGGCGCACTTTTCATCAAATGCAATTTGCGCACTTTTCAAAGTGGTATAAACGGGTTAAAGTAGCTCAGAGACAAGGATGATTTAATATTTACTCCTAATGATTAGCATTAATTATTTAATTAATTCATGGCATTAATTACAGGTGAAAGAGTAATGTAATAAATTATAAGTGAAAAATTTTAAGAATTTAAGAAATATACCTGAGATTACTATTTTTTTTTTTTTTTTGTTTTTTGCAATATTTTCTTTTTCTTTTTTCTTTTTTTTATTTTCTGTTTGCTTTAGAATTAAAAAAATAAGTGTCATTTACATATTACATTAATTAATTTACTTTTTGAATTTTTCTTTAATTTTAGTTTTAGCTTTATTAGTTCATCAAAGTTTAATTTTGCCGAGAATTTTTTTTGTTGTTGTTGTTGCAATTGATACTAAAAGCAAAATTACATTGAAATATTACTGGTACAACAAAAATTATTATATGTATGTCATATCATAAATAATTTATTAATTTAAATTAAACAAGTAAATCAGTATTTAAGTATTGTTTTTTTTTTTTGATCATTTTAGGATCATTGAAGTTGTGATTAAATGTTATTTTTAATTAGTGCAAGAAATATTTTCATATTCATTTGATATTCTTTGATCATTGTCATTCATTTATTTTAATTTCATTTCTCTTATTCATATTTTTAATTTAAATGTGGTAAATGATTATTTGTTGTAATTTTATTACTATAAAGCAATGAAATGAAAAATTAATAAATCATAAATGAATTTTAAATAAAATTAAACAGAAATATATTTTAATTGAATAAAAATATATATATATATGTGATCAGCGTCAATTAATAATATTAATAATTTCCATTTTTTTTTTCTGCATCTTCTATGGTAACATTAAAATTTGAAATTTGCATTAAATCGTAGACGAATTTAAATTAAACAAGTAAAATTTAAATTAATTGACAACAGTTACTCATCATTATTGAAAAGTATTGAAATTGCAATAATTCATAAATAAATTTAAATTAAACAAAGATGTGTTTTTTATTATTTTGAAAATATTAATTAATATTTCTGCTGCTAGTAATCAGTTCAATTTTTTGATTTCTACATTATTCATATAAATACTAAAATTATGCTAAATTATAAATGAATTAAAATTAAGCAAACATTTTTGAAATTTAATGATTTTAATTATAATTATTGACAATTTCAATCAGTTATTTCCATTTTAACATTCACAATTTGAAGTAATAACAATTGCGATGAAATGAAAATAGAACGAACAAAATTTTTGAACAAATAGTAAATGAAGAAATGAAATATTAGACATTGCATTGTCATACGAAATGACCTCGAAATCATTTATTTCTAAAATCATTTTCCACCGCTCATCTTTTCTTATTATTTCTTTGTAATTTCATTTCATTGCAAATTACATTTCAACAAATATAAATCATTCTTCACCATTTTAATTATTATTACTATTATTATTATTATTAAATAATTACTTTTAAATATAATTTAACTGTCATGATTATTAAATTTAATTTAAATTAATTTTAAAAAAATTTTAATTAATTATTATTATGAATTTAATTATGCTTCAATCATTCATTGTAATACACTTTATTTCATTAAATTGCTTCCTTTTTTCTTTTTTTTTTTTTTTTTTTTTAAATTACATTTTGAAAAAGTTTATTAAAAAATGTTTAAATTATTCATTTAATCGATATATTATCATTTTTGTTTAATATTTCTACTTTTTATAATATTAGTTACAATATAAAATTATGCATCGCCTTTTTTCGTTTTGTTTTATTTTGGGATTATTTTACAAATTCAAATTTAAATTAGAATTTAATTTATTCACATATCCTTTTTGTCGAACTCATTTTAGAAAACTAAAACTGACAAACTTTTAAACTGTAAAATTTACTAATCAATATATTAGTTTTTTTCCCATTTTTCTTGTTCAAAAAATATATTATTAAATTGAAGAAAAAGCATTCTAAAAACTGTTTACAACTTTTAAAATTAAATTTACAAATGAAAGAAATACTGAAATTTTTCTATTCTTATTTGAAATTAGATAATTTGATAATTCAAAATAAATGTTTGTAATATTTTATTAATAGTAATACAATGAATTGTTTCAACTATTGTCAATCAATGCTTTTATACGTTCAAAATTTTTAGATGACCTATTTATTAAGTATTGGATTAGGCGTCCTATTTGCGCTTCTTTACTATTGGATGACAAAGCCGCTCAATCGAATTAGACGCTTTGGTGATATTGGCGTATTTGTAGGCAAAATGAAGGTATTGCATTTCTGATCAAATTAAAAATTAATTATTCAATAATATTACAATCATTTTTTGTTTTTTTTTTTTTTTTTTTCATACAGAAATTTTCATACAAAATTTAAAAACTAATAAATTTGATCAAATCTAAAATTGAAAAATATTTAGCTTTTAATCATATAATAGTTTAAATAAAAAAAGAAGAAAAAGAATAATTTGAATGGTCCTCGAATAATTTTCAAAAAAAAATTGAAAAAAAAAAAAAAAAAAAAAAAAATTTGAATTCAGATAAAAAAGCCGTACAGGCAAGCATTTTTGGAACAATTGAAAAAAATGCGCTTTATTGGTAAAATACCGCCCGTATATCCAAATGGATGGTTCTGCATTGCTGAATCGAAGCAAATTAAACTTAAAGAAGTATTACCAATCATTTTTCTAGGTTCTTTTTCCTTCAATTAAACTTATCTTATCATTATCATTTTTACTATATTAAAATCGTTGTTATCGTATTTATAGCCATAATCAATGATAATTTTAAATATGATTATAATTTGTAATATTTATTTATTTAATTATGTAATTTAATTATCCTCATAATAATTTTGTATTCATCATTTCAACGATTAATATTGTTCTACAAGACAATTAAATTAATAATTAACTATTAAAATTAATTTTTTAAAAAAGAAAAATGTTGAAATCATTGAAAATATTTGTGATCAAAATTCTTATAACACAAAATTTAATTATTATTTGAAATATAGCAATTTTAGTCGTTGTTAGCACTGCAAATAATGTCATCAAATAATTGAATGAGATTTAAAATATTATTAAATCTTTATTATATTATAAAAGATTGGTGTTTTTTTTTTATTTATTATTACAATAATAACTGTAGAAATTTATGTGTTACTGAAAAAATAAGCTGTTAAAACAGTAACTTCATATGAATTAATGAAGCAGCAATTTATTGAGTTATTGAAACAGTAAATTGGTATGAATTACTGAAACAATAAGTTAGTAAGCATTGCTAGAATAATAAGGTTATTGGAATGTGTTATTTTTGTTATATATTAAAACTGACTGACACAATAATTTTTTTTTTTTTTTTAATTTTTTGTTCCATTCAGTATAAATAATTTTTCCTTTTCAGGACAACAACTGACATTACTTCGTTCCGAAACCGGAAAAGTATACTTAATTAATTCATACTGTCCACATTTGGGTGCAAATTTCAGTATTGGAGGTCGTGTTGTGAACAATAATTGTATTCAGGTTAATTATTAAAGTAAAGTGATGATGCATACTCATTAATATGAATATAATTAATCTAAAATTATTTTCTTTTTTTTTTTTTTTTGCAAAAAAAGTAGAAATAATAAATAAATAAATAAAATATTTTCATTTAGCAATGAAATTTATACCAAAAATGTTACATACTTAAAATTTTTGAAATATGATAAAATTAATTAATTCATATATCAGATTAATATTTCATTTTAATTGATATTAGTTAGTTAATTTCAACGAAACTGAAATTTATATGTTTTGAATATCTAAATTCGTTTTGTGCAAAATTTATATATTTGCAAACAGTAATGAAGTGAAATATACAGCTAATAAAATTTGCTTTTTTATCAAAAATGTTAATTTTTAAATTTTCATGAAAACAAAAAGATGGGATAATTTCAAATTAATGTTAAAATTAGAAAAAATTTGAAAAAAAAAAAGACTTTTTTTGGGTGCTATCAGATATAAATTAAAAATTCTAATTTGAACCAACAATTTAACATTATATAATATTATTTAAATAATTAGTTTTTGTTATTTTTCATTTCAAATTTCATTTATAAGTGTAAATTTTATATTATTTCATATGGACATACAATTGATATTAATTATAATTAATTAATTAATTAATTTAGTGTCCATTTCACGGATGGATTTTTAATGCTGAAACAGGCAACTGCATGCGTATTCCATACGAAACAAGTAATACAATTCCGGAACAGGCCAAAGTAGTCACTTGGCCAGTGGTAGAGAAGAATATGCATATTTATGCCTGGTAGGCTAATTTATCAATTAATTTATATAATCATTTTTCTTTCTTTTGTATTTAATTTTTTGTTCTTTTCTTTGCTTAGGTATCACTGCGATGGGAAAGATCCGGAATGGCAAATTCCGGATGTAGATGAAATTATCAATGGTGAATGGAAGTATAAAGGACGAACGGAACATGAAATTAATTGTCATATTCAGGAAATACCGGAAAATGGTGCTGATATTGCACATTTGAATTATTTACATTTGGCTGGTATTAATAACGGTTCGTTTATTTTTTTTTATTTTTTACTTTTTAACTATTTACTGCTATTAATATTTTTTCATACTGTTACTAGTTATTATTATTATTATTATCATTATTATTATTATTATTATTATTATTATTATTATTATCATTATTATTATTATTATTATTATTCATTCATTCACATAACTTATAATTAAAAATTATTACTTTTTATTTTATAATGCGGGAAAAAAGGTTTTTTGCAAATGTGTTAATTTATAATATTTTTAAGCTATGATTAACAAAATTGGAGAAATTTTATAAATCGATGTTAGGTAATGATATCACTAAAATTAAAATGGAAAATTTGGAGCCAAGAATACGGCATGTATGGAATGGCCGTTGGGAACAGCAACCGGAACCGGAAAAACATATCGGTGTAATGTATCTGAAGCAAGTTATGACTGTCATGAAAATACCAATACCGTTGACATACAGCGATTTGCAAGCACGACAGGTTATTGCCGAACTAAAGACTTTTCGGTACTTGAGTTCGTGGAGATTTCTTGATATCGTTAGATAATTGCTTGAAAGTAGTATTTCTTGTTTCTTATTGGAAATAAAATGAAATTAATTATTTGAAAGTATGAAAGAAAAAACGAGAAAATAAGTATTATTTTTATTTTCTTGATAAAATTTAAATTTTAAAATATTTGTTTTAAAATTTGTCTTTTAAAAGTAATATTTAACATTATTACCGCATTAAAAGTTTGAAAAATAAAAAAAAGAAGAAATAGTAATTTTCTTATTTTGCAATAAAATTTAAAACTTCAACATTTATTTTAAAACTTAATCTTTATTGAAATTTTTCTAAAAAAAAAAAAAAAGAAATTTTCGATTTTCAAAATCTAATCAAATTATCCATTATTTAAAAAATTTAATAATTTGAATGATTTGTCATTTTTTTTTTTTTAAAGAAAAATATTATTTAAATCAATGCGAAGTGATTTTTTTTTAAGATAAGAAAATAAATTGTTTAATTTTAAGTTACTAAAAAGTACTTTTTTTTTTTAAATTAAATAAGAAGTTTGATTATCAATAAAATATATGAAATTCTTTGGATAATATTAACGTCACAAAATTCAAACGATTTATTTTCTTTCAAAAAATTTGTCATAAATTTTAATAAATTTAAATTTAACAAAAAACTAATATTTAAGACTTAGTCTTGCGAGTAATTACGAATATTTTATAATTATTACTTATTTTTTATAAAGTAAACTTTATAAAAAATATTATAGATAGGTCCAGGTATCGTTTATATGATGTTTGATTTTGGTTTGCTCGGACGTGGAATCGTATTACAACACGTTACGCCTGAAGAACCATTGCTGCAACGTGCACGTTTCGTGATGTATTCAAATCTTCCAAAATTATACGCTAATTTTTTCTTGCTTTGTGAAGCAGTTCACGTAAGTTAGTTTGTTTACTTTACTTTCCTTTTTTTTTTTTTCTTCAAAAAATTAAAATTAGAAGGAATTTTTTTTCATTGAAAAAATGAATAAAATTAATTTAAAGAAAAATAAAAATGATAAATTTAGTAATTAATCAAAATTAATAAATAAGCAAATCATTTTTAAATAACAATTTAATGAAGCTAAAAAATATTTAAACAAAAAAAGGAAAAAAGATATGCAAATAAAGTAACAAAGTGATTAATTAGAAATAACAATTTTCAATTTTTCATTTATTTATTTATTTTTTCTTTTAAATTTTAGTTTGAAAGAGACATTTACATTTGGAATCATAAATGTTACATCAAACGACCACTGCTAACCAAAAGTGATGGCCCAATTTTGAAGCATCGACGTTGGTATAATCAATTTTACGCTGAAAATAGTCCACGTTTGGAGTTAGATGGTACGCTTAGCAATGAAGTTAAATCAATTTTTGATTGGTAATTTGAAATATTTTAATAATAATAAATTTTTTTTTTTGCATTTGAAATGTTACATTAATTTTACACTGTGAAAATTTGTATTTTTAATTAATTAGTAACGATTAACAATGAAGTAAAATGCTTTAAAAATGTTTCACACCTTGAAATTAAAAAGTTTTATTATTACATTCAATTTTTTTTTTTTTTTTGAATAAATATATTAAAATATTATAAAATGTCAACATACTGCCTGAGAAAATTGTCATATCTCACAGGCAAAAAAAAAAAAAAAAAAGGAATTTAAGGGAAAATGAATTACATTTAATATTTTTATGAAATTTTTGCTTTTTTTTTTTTATTTTATAATAATTTAATATGTTCAAATTTCATGTTTTCTTCACTTTCCATGTACTTTCTTTTCAATTCAAATAAATTTGAAAAATTTTTTTGAGTTCAAATCTTATCATTTTACCATTTCGTATTTTAAGTAAATGAGTAACTGATATAAAAATATTTCATAATTTCAAATGTTTAATACATGAAAAATGATTGTAAAAAACTTATGAAAAATAATTTAAAAAAAAAAAAAACATTTTGTTACGGAAAATATTTGCATCATAGTTTAGTTAAATAATTAATATTTGAAAAATGACAATAAAATACTCATACTGTAAGTTAAAAGAGATTCAGAGAAGTGAAAAAAAGTAGAAAAAGTTTTGTGATTCTGAAAAGATTTGTAAAAAAAGAAATAAAAAAGAGGAGAAGATGAAGAGAAAGAATAAAAGAAGTGGAGAAAATGATGTGATTTAATTACTTACATTTGTGTGATAATTATGATAAGGAAAGTAAAAGTGATAATACACTGTGATTTGTGATAAATTCAGAATGAAAGAAGGAATTAAAAGTATATTATAAGTTTAATTAAATCAAAAAAACTTCTATGATTATATGATTGTTAATAAAATATATAAAACTTTGATTACATTTTATGATAATTATGTTTGGTTCAGAGCGATTAAATTATGCAGTTATCAGATTCATCACTGATATCATTCAGCTATCATACTTATCACTGATATCATTCAGCTATCATACTTATCACTGATATCATTCAGCTATCATACTTATCACTGATATCATTCAGCTATCATACTTATCACTGATATCATTCAGCTATCATACTTATCACTGATATCATTCAGCTATCATACTTATCACTGATATCATTCAGCTATCATACTTATCACTGATATCATTCAGCTATCATACTTATCACTGATATCATTCAGCTATCATACTTATCACTGATATCATTCAGCTATCATACTTATCACTGATATCATTCAGCTATCATACTTATCACTGATATCATTCAGCTATCATACTTATCACTGATATCATTCAGCTATCATACTTATCACTGATATCATTCAGCTATCATACTTATCACTGATATCATTCAGCTATCATACTTATCACTGATATCATTCAGCTATCATACTTATCACTGATATCATTCAGCTATCATACTTATCACTGATATCATATCATTCAGCTATCATACTTATCACTGATATCATTCAGCTATCATACTTATCACTGATATCATTCAGCTATCATACTTATCACTGATATCATTCAGCTATCATACTTATCAATACTCATCACTGATATCATTCAGCTATCATACTTATCACTGATATCATTCAGCTATCATTCTATCACTGATATCATTCAGCTATCATACTTATCACTGATATCATTCAGCTATTATCATATACTTATCACTGATATCATTCAGCTATCATACTTATCACTGATATCATTCAGCTATCATACTCATCACTGATATCATTCAGCTATCATACTTATCACTGATATCATTCAGCTATCATACTTATCACTGATATCATTCAGCTATCATACTTATCACTGATATCATTCAGCTATCATACTTATCACTGATATCATTCAGCTATCATACTTATCACTGATATCATTCAGCTATCATACTCATCACTGATATCATTCAGCTATCATACTCATCACTGATATCATTCAGCTATCATACTATCACTGATATCATTCATACTGATATCATTCAGCTATCATACTTATCACTGATATCATTCAGCTATCATACTCATCACTGATATCATTCAGCTATCATACTTATCACTGATATCATTCAGCTATCATACTTATCACTGATATCATTCAGCTATCATACTCATCACTGATATCATTCAGCTATCATACTTATCACTGATATCATTCAGCTATCATACTTATCACTGATATCATTCAGCTATCATACTTATCACTGATATCATTCAGCTATCATACTTATCACTGATATCATTCAGCTATCATACTTATCACTGATATCATTCAGCTATCATACTTATCACTGATATCATTCAGCTATCATACTATGATATCATTCAGCTATCATACTTATCACTGATATCATTCAGCTATCATACTTATCACTGATATCATTCAGCTATCATACTTATCACTGATATCATTCAGCTATCATACTTATCACTGATATCATTCAGCTATCATACTTATCACTGATATCATTCAGCTATCATACTTATCACTGATATCATTCAGCTATCATACTTATCACTGATATCATTCAGCTATCATACTCATCACTGATATCATTCAGCTATCATACTTATCACTGATATCATTCAGCTATCATACTTATCACTGATATCATTCAGCTATCATACTTATCACTGATATCATTCAGCTATCATACTTATCACTGATATCATTCAGCTATCATACTTATCACTGATATCATTCAGCTATCATACTTATCACTGATATCATTCAGCTATCATACTTATCACTGATATCATTCAGCTATCATACTTATCACTGATATCATTCAGCTATCATACTCATCACTGATATCATTCAGCTATCATACTTATCACTGATATCATTCAGCTATCATACTTATCACTGATATCATTCAGCTATCATACTCATCACTGATATCATTCAGCTATCATACTCATCACTGATATCATTCAGCTATCATACTTATCACTGATATCATTCAGCTATCATACTCATCACTGATATCATTCAGCTATCATACTTATCACTGATATCATTCAGCTATCATACTCATCACTGATATCATTCAGCTATCATACTTATCACTGATATCATTCAGCTATCATACTTATCACTGATATCATTCAGCTATCATACTCATCACTGATATCATTCAGCTATCATACTTATCACTGATATCATTCAGCTATCATACTTATCACTGATATCATTCAGCTATCATACTTATCACTGATACTTCTCCCTTTCCTCGTTCCTTACAATTTCTAAATCGAAAGACTTGCGCTATGTGCTGCACCCTTCAGTCCTTCTCGAGCAAACATTCCACGCATACCAGCGGAGGACGACGACTGATTGACACCAACAATTACACTGGCAGATGACGACGGCACTATCAGCTATCACAGCTACTATCTTTTCAATATTTTATCTCTTTTCTTTCCTTCTTTTTCTCTCTCTCTCTCTCTCTCTCTCCCTCTCATTCCTTTAACTTTTTAATTTTCTTTATAGTTGTTTATATTTTCTAATTTGTTCTCTTCCTCCTTCTCAATTTTCTTTCTCTTTCTCTCTCTCTGCTATATACATTCATAGAAAGAGAGAGAGAGAGAGACGGAATTTTAGCAAAATTTGATCTCAATAAAAATGAAAAAAAGAAATTTAAACAAGAAAAATTACGACACACACATACATAACATACATTTTAGCAATAAAAACTTTCATTGTTTGAAACGTAGTATGGTTAACGTAACGTAACGTACCGTAAAATGTTTTGTGAGTAAGTTACGTACGTGAATAACTTGTGCATTAATACTTACTTTATAACAAATTGATAATATTTATATGCATAATTCTTTGTTATTTCTTTATTATTTGTTATATTTTACATTTATATTTCTTATTCGTAACTATAAGTAATAAAATAAAATAAAATGAAATTTTCATATTCAAAAAAAAAAAAAAAAAAATTGGCGTAGCATAGCGTTGTTATAAGTGAAAAATTATTTTGAAGGAATGAATGCATTGAAAGATTTAATTGTAAAATAAGTTGAAAAATTTGATTTGAGCCATTTTGCGAAAAAAAAAAAAAAATTCTTTTTTTCTCCACTTTTTCTCATTCTTTTAAATATTTTCATAAACAAAAATTTACTATTTTTATTGTTTTTGAAAATAAAATATACAGTATATTCAGTGTGAACAAATTAAATTAATTAAAGGTTTTTTTTTTTTTTTAAAAAAAAAAAACTTATTTTAAAGCAAAAAATTAGAAAAAGATATATTATTGATTGATTGAAATTAGTTCGAAAAGAATTTATTTGTGGTAAGCAAAATTTTTGAAAATAAAATTTCCATCAATGTTATTACAAAATATATCATAGTTATGTGAAACGATCAGTAATATTTAATTTATTAGATTGTATGTTGGCAAAGTTTAAAATTACACTGAAAGTAATTATAAAAGATGAAAGTACGGTGCGTTGGATAATAAATTATAATTCAATTTTTCATAAATTAAATAATAAAAATTGAATTTTACATGCGTGAAGCAAAATATTTTAGTCAAAAAACTATTCTTTTTATCACATAAATAAAATCGTAAATATTTTTTATTTTTTTTTTTTTATTTTCATAAAATGCATATTATAATTTCCTTTTTCTTTGCAAAAATTTTGTAAGTAATTATAATTACTTTTATCAATATTTATTTTATTAATCGATTATTATCATTATTATCAATTATTATTATCAAATAATAAATAAAAAATCCTGATATTTTCCATTTTCCTTTTAAAAATAATTTTTTTCTTATATTTCAACTTTTGTAAACACATTAAAAAATAAATAAATTATAATATTTATTAAGAAAACAAGAACTAATCAAATTTTTGATAAAATTTCATTTGCACAGTTTATTATTAACTTTATTATTTCTCTAATTCTTCTAACTTTAATAAATTAAAATTTTGATTAATGAAGAAACTTACTTATTTCATTCTTTCATTTCAAAATAGTTTTGTTCTTAAATTTATTCATCGAACAAGAAATAATTTTAATTTTATTGAAGTTAAGTACACAAATCAAATTACAGTATTATTCTTATAATAAACATTAATTTTCTGTCAAATGTTATTAACTATCCAAGTAAATTCATATCTTTAATCTATCTGTAAATGAATTAATTAGTAGTCGTTGTGATTGAAATTAAATTTTAAATTAATTTGTTGCTTTTTTCTCTCTCTCTCTCTCTCTTGATAACGATCTCTTCCTGTTAATTAATTCGAACTTAAATTCTAACCGTAAATTATTTATTTCAAACATTGGCATCAATTTAACTTAATTTAGCTTTACGTTTTCGTCGTGATCGACACGTAACGTTTTTGATCGACACGTGATAACAATTTTTAGATACCAAATTAAATTAACTAATTCATAAGTGGAAGGGAACAATTTTCAAATGTATATTTCACTTTAATATATTTATTTTACGTTGTTATTATTAACGTGAAACGTGAAACGTGAAATGTTATACGTTCAAAAGTTTGTTTGTTAGTAAATAAATAATGTAAACAAATGATTGAAAGAATATTTCAGGTCATTATCAGTCCATTCATTTACATATTAAATTCTTTCATTTCTTGAATGGTGCAGAAGAGAAATGAAACTTAATTGATAGTAGGAGAGGGAGAGAGAGAGGGAGGGAGAGAGGGAGAGAGGGGAGAGAGAAATTATTGTTGAGAAAAGAACGCTTTAATAAGATCATCTCTTCAGACGAGGAATGGAATGCTTGTAGAGAGAGAGAGAGGGAGAGAGATATAGGATACAGGGAATAGAAGGTACAATATAAATGAGATAAGATGTAAAAGAAAATGGAAAGAATACGAGTAATGGAGAGGTATAGATTTCACTGGTGGAATTGAAGTTCTTTAATGAATTAGTATTATTGCTAGAAGAGAAATGGGAGAAATGAAGGGGAAGAGGGAGAAAGGAAGAAGAAGAGAGTGTGAGTGAGAAAGGAAAGAGATTGCTTTCTTGTCACCTTTACATATTTGCAAAAGTGCCATTAAGATTTGTTTCTATGATAGTTCGAAATTCTCTTCGTTCCTCCATTTCCTCTCGTTGTCTTCCTCTCCTATCTACTCTCCCTCTCTCTCTCTCTCTTCTTAAATATTGTCAATAAAGCGTTGGCGAACTTTTGTCTTCGTTGTGTTCAAAACTTCCACACACGCACAGACACGCTCACACAAATATACACACGTATAGGAGGCATACACACATACATACACGGACATGCACACGTGCACACACGTACGCAGACGCACGCACGAATACAATAGACGTACACGCACACACGTATGCACACATAGACGTACAATATAAATGTACCCTTTCTAAACCTTTTACCATTTCTCTTTTTAACTTGGCGTAACTATCTGTATACACATACATACTTAATGCGTGTACTGTATGTCCTACCGTACGTGCATTAAGTACACCGTGCACGTACACGTGTGCGTACACGTGTGCGGTGTACTTAATGCACGTACGCATGCGCTGTTTTCTGTTGCATAAATTTTGGTGCAAAATTGTTTGTAATAGTGAATGAATTAGAGTTCTTTTGCATTTGTGTTATGTGTAAATGATTGAAATGTTTATTTTGCGTTTGTCTTTTTTGTTTCTTTTAATTTTAAGTTTAAATTAGAGTAATTAGTTAGAAAGAAAGAAAAGAAGAGAAAATAATAATAAAAATGGAAAGAAAATAAAATATAAAAATTTTAATTTTTCTTAAAAAAAAAGAGCGAAATAAATGATAATTAATAATATTTTTTTTTTCTTTCACTGTCTCTTCCTCTTCTCTCTCTCTCTTTCTTTTTTCTTTTATTCTTTGTATAATATTTATTTTATTAATGATAGAATTATTTTATAGCAAAAAGAAGAGGGAAAAAATAAATAAAAAAGTAAAAAATTGTTTATTCTCATTTGGGTTTCTTTTTTCTCTCTTTTTTTTTTTTGGTACCAAAGAAAGAGGACGGTAACAGGGAGAGAGAGAGAGAGAGAGAGAGAGAGAGAGAGAGAGAGAGAGAGAGAGAGAGAAGGAGGAAGCACGAGAACCATTTTTCTCGATTATGTTTGGCATTGGTACATTGATGTGGCGGTAATGGTATGACGATGATACGATGATTGCAAAGACTGCGGGACGAAGAACTGATGATGAAAAGGGGACGATAGTTTAATGGGTTAATGTATCTATGTACATGCATGTCTGTATGTGTGTGTGTGTGTGTGTACGCATGTTTGTATGTGTGTATGTGTGTATGTATATATATATGTATGTGTATGTGTGTGTGTGTGCGTGTGTGTGTGTGTGTGTGTGTGTGTGTGTGTGTGTGTGTGTGTGTGTGTGTGTGTGTGTGTGTGTGTGTGTGTGTGTGTGTGTGTGTGCGCACATTGTTAGCAACTATTTCTGCCCGCCTTTTCAATTGCTTCTTCGTGCATCAATATGATGCCAAACTTTTATTTCGATCGAAATAAATGCAAAATTTTCATTTTAAAATTGGTACAAAAACTTCCAAAAATTCATCATTGTTTTTTCTTTTTTTGTCAGAATTATTGTTTAAATTTATTTGATGGATTGATTGATCAGTTATTGATTTTATTTATTGTAATATATTTGTATGATACATAGTGAAGAAAATAGAATCGAATTCAGTGGTATGGTACCTACCAGTTATTGATATATGATATTTCTCTTTCTTCAGCGCTTATCATCTTCTTCTGATAATAATTTCATTTAATTAATTTGTTATCAAATTAAACTTTTATTTTTTAATTCCATTCTGATTCATTCACCATTATTATTATCATTAAGTTATTGGGATGATTTCAGTTTTTTATCGCTTTTTATCTTTTACTTCACTCATTGATACAATGTAAGACAGAAAAAGGAAGAAAGTTTTGAAATTTAAATTCTGAAATTGGCATACTTTTGCGCTTAACTGGGGACATTTAGGTATTTGTTGAAAGAAAATGATGGAAATAATCAAATACTCAACCAAATATTTACACATTTCTGCGAGACAAAAAAAAAAAAATTAGTATGGTTGTTAAATTTTGTTTTTAATTGAATATTCTGGTTGTAATACTAAAAAAAAAAATAAGACAGAATGTATTGTATGCTTAATTTCAGATGATTTGAAGAAAAAGTTATTTTACTATTATCTTACTAAATTGTTCTTTTTTCTGGTTTATTATCCCATTATTATTCCAATATTAATTTTCATTTCTTTTTTTTTTTTTTGCGCCATATTTTTAACAAATTTCTACGAGTCGGAAAGTTAGAAAAAAAATAGTATAAATTCTTTTTTTTTTTTTCTTCTAAATTAATACAGTATTTCTTTGCTTTGTAATAAATATTTTTTAATATAATTATTTTATCAGGCCAAAAAAAAAAAAAAAAAGATCACATATCATTATCATACAAACATATGTAACAGTTATTTTTGAGTTGTTTATTTTCTTTTCTTTTTTTTTTTTTTTCTCTCTCATAAAATTCTCATTTTTGCTATGTTTAAAATTAATTAATTGATATCATTTTTATCTTTTGCAAAAAAATTTTTTTTTTCTTTTTTCTCTCT